ACACACACACTGCCACCCCTGCCCCTGGCAGCACTGACAACGAGGGGTCACACGCTCTCGGAATCACCCCTCAGAAAGGCTTTGGGAATCGGGATATGTGTGTGTGTGTGCACAAAAGTGGGTGGGGTGCGCCTTCTGCCTACTACACCTGCAGCTGCAATGCTGGGGTGGGGTTGGCGTTGGCGGTGCCCTAGGCCGTCATCTCAGTCTCACAGTGTCTCGGCCGAACGGGTTGACGCGTTGACCGAGGCGTCGACGCCCCCTAGAGACCCCCCGACCCTCGTTGGCTTCCCGGAGAGAGTCGAGGCGGATCCCTGACAGTGTAGGGCACACGGCTGCACACGGCACACCACGGCACACCGAGAACCGAGACTCGTTTCTTTACAGCCCGGTCCAGGGTCCAGCCTGGCGGCCTGGCCGGCCTGCCTGGCCGGCCTGCCTGCCCGGCCTGCCCCGACGCCCCGAGTCCTGCGTGTCCTGCGTGCTGCCGGTCGTCTGATAAGCTGCGGCCCGGATTCGCCAGTCCCCGCCGGCGGGGCGCGGGTTCGAATACCGAGCTGGCGGCGCCGTTTTCCTCGCGAAGGGCTCGGCAGTGAGACGGCGAGCGCGTTCAGCCGGGCAGGCGGGCCGCGCGGCGACAGCCGAGTCTCGCTGGTTGCCTACCGCCACGGCTGGCGCCGACGCCGACGCCCCGCCGACGCTCCACTGTGGGCCAGAAGACCGGTGGAGGCGGACAAAACTCTAGAGGCGTTTTGAGCTCCAGAGTCACCAAACAGGACTCGCACCTAGCTTGTGACCCCACCAATGGATTCCTCGTTCGGAGAGCAATCCATTGGTGGGGTCACACGTTCGGTTCGAGTCCCATTTAGCGACTCTGGAGCTCGAAACGCGTCTAGAGTTTTGGCCACCTCCAACGGTCTGCTGGCCCACTGTGCGCCCGGGCGACGCACGCAGGACGCGTTGCGGCGTTGCCTCCCGTTTTTTGGCAGTGCAGCCGCAGCCCGAACACACTTTGCCATTTGGAGGGCGGGCGGGCCGACATGGGGCCGAGGTTGGCCGATGCGACTCGGCCCGGGCCGGAGTCTGGCCCGCTGGCCCGGCCGCCCCGGCCGCGGAGGGGAGGGGAGGGGGCCCGCCAGGTATGCGAAACAGGCAAGGTGAGGTGGGGATGAGAAAGAACACAAAAGACAAGAACAGGTGAGGAGGGGGAAAGGGGAGCTGGCGGAGGGAGGGGGCGGCCGCGCCGCCGCGTCCTGGAGGCGGACGGGACGACGGGACGCCGCCGCCGCCGCGCCGTGGACTACGTGGAGAGGAGCACCACCGGCACGGCCAGCAACGCCAGCAGTCTTGCTTGGAGTTCGCTGCCGAGCGGTTCGGGCCCAGCGCGGGCCCCGCGGCGAGGTGCTGGTCTCTCTGTCTGCCAAGGCTGCCAAGGCGCGGCCAACGAGGTGGCCCTGTGTGCCACCAGTGCGGTCCAGTGCGTGTTTTGGTGCGACGAGTTCGAGTACACTGTAAGCGCCTGGAGGCTGGCGCTGCTAGGCGCTGCCTGGCGCTGGAGGCTGGCCCTCTCGCCCTACTTGTGCTCCGCCAGACTCCAGAGTGTGCGCCTGTGTCTCCTCCAGCACGACGGCGCGCTCCGCCACGCCGCCGCGCCCCGGATCTTCTCCAGGTAAGCGTCGACTAGTCCAGTTACCTCTCGTTGCCGCCGGTGCCTGCGGTCAGACTGTGGGTCTGTGGGTTGGGGTTCGACTCCCGGCCGAGTCCTTGCGGCCTTGCGGTTTGGGGGCGTGGGCGCTAGACGCGCCTTGCCACCTCGTTTGACGGCCGCGTGCACGCCGAGTGTGCCACGTGCTTGGTCGCGCTGTCTCTCTCGCACCGCCACGGGCCACCCCTCGAGTGCGAGAGAGACAGCGCAGCCCTTGCGACACCGCGTTTCCGTAGGGGGTGAACTCATTTACTGGTGGCCGTCCTCGCTGGCCTTGGGGAACGCAGCGACGCAGCAACGCGGCCTAGCCGTCGGCTCCGCTGTTCCAATATTTGCCCGGCGTGCTTGCCGTCCGGGCGTGTCCCCGAGGACGCACTCGACGTGCTCTACCACGGCTGTCGGCTGCCGTGCCGCGCTCCACGTGGGCTGGGTGGGCGGGTGGTCCGACGCACCAGCGCGGCGGTTTGCCGTGCCGGGGGTGGGTGGCTCCGCGGGTGGGTTCCGACATGTCAGCATGCCACGGACGTCGTGGACGTGCTTGGCCTTGCCAGGGATGTGCAAACCGCGGCGCGTGACCGGCCGGCTGCCGGCTCTCCCCTGTGACGTCACGGACACGGAGGGGCTGCGTGGCGCGGCCCGTGGCGGCCTCGTAACGCCCCGGCCGTCTTGTGAAACGTTTCGGATTAGTTTTGGACCGGTTTTCGGGTGGCGCGGCGTGGCGGCGCGGTGGCGCGGCGGCATGGCCGGCCACGTGGCGGCGTAGTGCGTGCTGGCGGTGCTGGCCGCCTTGGTGCAGCGCGTCGTCTCCGTGCGTCCCGGGGATAGGTCAAGGGATGACGCGGCCCTTCTGGAAGCTTTCCCGCCAACGGCCCCTCCCCCCTCCCTTTTTGGGCAGGTTTCTCACAAGGCCCATTGTGCGGCTGCGTACCTGGCGGTCCTGGCGGTGTACCTGACGGTCCTGGACCGCTCGCAGGGACTCCGCTTGCTCCGCTCAGGTGCGAGGGAGGGAGGGGGGAGGGGCACGCTCTTTTTTTTCGGAGGTGGCCGATTGGCTCGGAATGTCGGTTGGAATCTGGTGGGCAGACCCTCGGCTTGGGGATGGGGTGGCGTGGCGTGGTGTGGCCGGTGCGTCTTCGAGGAAGGTGTGTAGGTGTTTTCGGGACCGCTCTCCCCTTCCCCCTCCTTTACCTGCCTGTCGGCCTGTCGGCCAGGTAAGCAGCCACAAAAGATACATCTGTCGGCCCGTACCGGCCAGGCTGCCCGGGCTGGCCAGGCCGGGGATCGGTAGGTCGGCCGAGGACCGAGGGGCATTCTTCTGGTTATTAGGGTGCTATTGGGGGACCTGCAAGCGGCCTGGTTCGACCTGGTCCTGGTCCCCGGGACGGCCCCCGGGACCCAGCTTCACTTCACCTGGTGCGCGCGCTCCCCGCGCTCCCCAACGAGGCCGTGGTGCAGGCCCTCGTGTGGAGACTGTCCTTGCGCCGCGTGTCGTCTCTCAGTCTCTCGCCCCCGCGGTTCGCCAAAAATAATCTTGAAAAGTAATTCGCGAGGTGGTTGCCGGCAGGCTGTCCTCCTCGCCGCCCACGCCTGCAGGCTGTCTCTCTCGCACTCACGGGGCGCGCGGTACGGGAGCGAGAGAGAGAGAGAGCGCCGGGCTCTCGTTTTTGGCGTGTCGTGCCTGCGAGACTTGAACGCCAGAGCCAGCCACAGACCCTGCCGGCCCTTGGTGTTGGCGGCACGGCGCACCGTGCGCCCAAGTCCCCGTCTGGGATTCCCCGCCCCGCCCCGCCCCGCCGGGGCTTCGGATTGTGTTCGCATACAGAGTGTTGCGGCGTGGGCCGTGCCGGGCGTGCGTGCACGCCGTCGAGGCAGTGGCGGGCCTCCCTGCTCCTCCCGGTGCTCGTCGTCCTGGTCGTCCTGGTCGTGGGCGTGCTCCGATAATTGTCCGGCTGCGGCGGGGGAGGGCGGCAATTTCGGCCAGTGGATGGTGGTCACTTTTGGCGCGGCCATTTCTCACGCTTCGCAAATGTGTGTCACATTCGTTTGCCGTGTGCGAGTTTGTGTGTGTGTGTGCGGGCGGTTGCGTGTGTGGGCCATGCCGCTGCCTCCAAATCCGACTTTTCGTGTTTGTGGCTTTGGCCTGCCGCGCGGCCACCTTCTAGGCAAAGCCAGGCAAAGCGGTCGAGGCCCTCATGTGAGACGCGGTGCGGTGCCGCGCGGTTCCGCATGCCTGCGCCCTGTGCCTGGCCAAGGAAGGCCCCGGCCTGGCCCCGGCCTGGCCCCGGCCTGGCCCCGGCCAGCCACTCGCATCGCCTTCGGCTACCTTCGGCCACCTTCGGCCACCTTCGGCCAAGCCAAAGGCGAGCCAAAGGCCTTTGGGAGCTCCCCGCCAGGCTGCCTCTAAGGCTGCCAGCCCCGCCGGCCCGCCACGCTCTGGTGCCGCGGGAGAAAGGAGCGAATCGGAAAGGTCGAGCCTTGGTCGACTCTTGTTGTTTTTAATTCAAGCATCGTTCTTGTTGGTGTTGTTCTTTTGCTGACAGGTAGCGGTGCTGCACGTGTTTCTGCGGGTCGCGGTTCACGGACGGTGACGTCAACGCGGTGAAGTCACCGCCTTGCCAAGCCCGCCAAGCTCGCGAAGCAGGCCCTTCTCTTCCGTTTCGTCGCCAAGGACCCGCGGGGACCCGCCGCCAAGGCCGCGCAGCAGACGAAGACGCCTGGGAGGCGCTGTTATTTTCTTTGGTTATCTAGCTGTATGAGTGCATTCGACTTTCATAAAGCTAGGTTACCGAAGCTAAGAGCGGCGCCTCGTTCTACGAGACGACTTTCAGCAGCGGACCTCAACAGTTCTTCAAAGAGAAAAACAACCCGAAATTTTTGCGTCCGTTCTTTTGTTATTTTGAACTATTTTTTGTGTAATTTTTCATGGTTTCCATCTAATTTTGGTGTGCTCTGGTGCAGTTATTCCCACCTCGTTAACGCCCTGCATATTCTCCTATCTCTCTTGGGTCGCAGAGAAGACCATGGGAGTCCAGAGTGCGACAAGTGTGTTATTTTAAGTGTACGTCGTACCACTACTTCTGTCATATGTGTGGCATTCGCACATAACACCGTATCTACCATGGGATTCCCCACGAAGATACGTTGTTCTGTCAGATGATCACCCATAAACGCTTGCAAGAGGTAGTCAGTGTGGTGCTAGTGTAAGACCTACGTGTCCTTGTTGTGAACTTCCCTCAATTTCAATGTTGTGAAGCGAGGAAGAAAGGAAATGGAAATATTACTCTGTTATATTGCTTGAAGTTTATTCAATTTCTCTTGTTTTAAATGTGTTTTAACATGGAAAATTTAATAATAAAAGGTGTGTACACAGTACACAGAAAAAGATTTTCCGTTTAGAAAACTTAAAAAATCCTCATAGTTCATTCAAAACATTTTAATAAAATCTCCTTCACTCCCTTATCACAAATATCACTGAACCTCAGCCAGAGGGTCTGTTTCTTCCCGTGCCTCCGTAACTATTTCCATCTCTTCTTCCGGCGGCAAGCTACTCCCGTCATTCGAAAGGTCAGACTTTAGGTTACACCCGTCACTCGAGTGTTCAGGTTGCAAGCTACGCCCGTCATTCGCGTGTTCAGGCTGCATGCTACGCCCGTCATTCGAGTGTTCAGGCTGCGAGTTACGCCCGTCATTCGAGTGTTCAGGCTGCGAGTTACGCCCGTCATTCGAGTGTTCAGGCTGCGAGTTACGCCCGTCATTCGAGTGTTCAGGCTGCGAGTTACGCCCGTCATTCGAGTGTTCAGGTTGCATGCTACGCCCGTCATTCGATCGTTCAGGCTGCAAGCTACGCCCGTCATTCGAGTGTTCAGGCTGCAAGCTACGCCCGTCATTCGAGTGTTCAGGCTGCAAGCTGCGCCCGTCATTCGAGTGTTCAGGCTGCGAGTTACGCCCGTCACTCGAGTGTTCAGGCTGCAAGCTGCGCCCGTCATTCGATCGTTCAGACTGCAAGCTACGCCCCTCATTCGAGTGTTCAGGCTGCAAGCTACGCCCGTCATTCGAGTGTTCAGGCTGCAAGCTGCGCCCGTCATTCGAGTGTTCAGGCTGCAAGCTACGCCCGTCATTCGATCGTTCAGACTGCAAGCTACGCCCCTCATTCGAGTGTTCAGGCTGCAAGCTACGCCCCTCATTCGAAAGTCCAAGCTCCGCTTTCACTGGATGAGACGGCTTTGATTTTTTGGACGGTGGCGTGTCCAGCGTGTCCACTTCGTCACCTGTCAAATGTGGACGCCGCATTTCGAGTGGGTGGGCCTGCCTGAACTTCTTGACGAGCTTCTTGTGCACTCCCGTTTGGAACAAGTGCAGGATGAGTGCCGCGCGCGCCTTGGGGTCCTGGCAGGCCTCGTCCGCCTCACCGCTGAAAGTTTCATCAACCACCTGCTTGACGAGGGCCACCATGTCCGTGTCGTTGTCCTCCCTGACGTCCCTGATGGTCTCCTTGATGAACGTCCGATCGTGGCGCACACGAAGTCTCCGCACCTGCTGGGTCAAGGCCTTCATCTTCTTGAACCGCTTTTCGCTTTTCGCTGCCCGCTTCTTCGCTTCCGCGTCCTTTTTCTCGATATCCTTTTCCAGTTTGAGGATGTGCCGCCGGAGTCTGGCTTCCATTTCTTGGCGGGCTGCTTCGGCCGCCTCGGTCGCCTCCACTGCTTCGGCCGCTTCGGAGGCCGCCTCGGTGACGAGGTACCTTTCCTTTTCGAGCGCCTTTTCCAACACGCGAATCTTCTCCTCAAGTCTTGTCTTCTCCTCCTCCAGTCTTGTCCTCTCCTCAAGTCTTATTCTCTCCTCCAGTCTTGTTCTCTCCTCTTCCGGCGGCGTTGGACAAACAGGAGACTGGAAACGAAACCGCCAAATATAAATCAGTGTCCCGCGAATTCAGTGCTGCCGCATACCTACGAACTAGGCGAAAATTCCCACAATGCAAGCAAGCGTTATAACTCACCTCCGACCGGAGAACTACCTCCGGGTAGTTATCTTCTGAGAAGTTATCCTCCGCGTAGTTATCCTCTGGGTAGTTATCTTCCGGGTGGTTCCCCTCCGGGTGGTTTCCCTGCGGGTGGTTCTCCTCCCGGTAGTGCTCGGTGGACAGCTTGCCCAGGAACTTGAAGACGCACTTGGGCGGGCGCGGGAGCGGGACCAGCGGTGGCGGCGAGAGGGGCCGGGCCAGGGGGAGCGGGCACGCAGACTTGATGGCGCGGTAGGGCAAGGGGGACACCAGGAAAGGGTTGGGGCCGAGCCGCGCCACGGTGGCCACCTTGCCCACCTCCGGGGGCAGTCCGATGGGCAGCAGTGGCGGGGGGTCCGCCGGAATCAGGAAGGTGTTCTGAAGACACAAAATGGCGCATCAGTCAGAACCACGTGGACACGCACGCACATACACATGGACCACGAATTTACCTCTTTCTCGGTGATTTTCGGGACGGCTGTCTTCTTGAGCCTGAATCGGTCCCCCATCGAGACGACGTCGTCCTTGCCGAAGTGCAGCGAGCAGAGGACGGGGTGTCGGGTGATCTCTTTCTCGGTGAGGGCGCACAGACGCAGCCATTTGGCCCGAACGTCGGGGTCCTTCGGGAACCTAGAAAAATGAAACAAAATACAAAAATGTAGTGTACCGCTTAGTCAGCGTCCCAGGAAGGAGAGCCAAGTCAGAAACGTAACAAGTGGCACGAAAGTGATCTGTGTCCCTTCTTGGGGCGGTCAAAAGGGGGAGGGGGTCAGGAAGAAACCCCCCCCTCTTTTCCCCTCCGAAAACGAATACGCCCCTGAGCACCACGCGCGGCGCGCGACATACTTACGAGAAGAATGAGATGCCTTTCGTCTTGTGGCCCTTCCCTGACTCGCACGTCGGGGCGGAACACCGCGAAGGCATTGCTGGTTCGGGGTGGGCAGCGCAAAAACAAAGAAACGCACAAACTGACTGCTCTGCAGTGCTCTAGAGGCGACACTAAAAACGGCGGGACTCTGTAGGGGTCGTGCAGCGAGCAGCAACCGGGCTTCGGCGGCTTCGGCTGACTTCGGCTCCGCCACGGACCCCCGAAGATGCCCGAAGACGTCTTCGGCCGTGTGTTCGGGGCGTTCGGAGCGGCTACAGCGGCCCGTTCATGTCAGGTACGCTCCCGGCCGCGGGCTCGGCTTCGGCTCCGAAGTGTCGGGCGTCTCCGAAACTTTTTCGGATGCTTCCGAGGACCTTCTGCACTTCTGCAGTAGCGGCCGGTCCTGGTTGCGCTGAGTTCCAGCACTGTAAAACAGAAAAACCAGATTATGCCTTCTGCTGACGTCTTTCCATCTCGGCTACAGTCGGGGACTTGAACCGGAATCCCCCTGGCAGGACCGATACGCTCCCGTTGCTCCAAACCACACAAGGCGCGACCTTGCACGGCCACAATGACTGGGACCGGGTTCAACTCCCCGTGAAGGCGAGCCGTTTCTTAGCTCTAGGCCCGCGCTTCGGCCTTGGGCAGCCTTGGGCGTCTCGCCAGTCCGGACTAGAGCTGTCGAAACGGGTACCTGTGGGGGAGGGGGGGCAGAAGACCGGTGGAAGCGGTCAAAACTCTAAACGCGTTTTGAGCTCTAGAGTCGCTTAATGGGACTCGGACCGAACGTGTGACCCCACCAATGGATTCCTCGTTCGGAGAGCAATCCATTGGTGGGGTCACACGTTCGGTCCGAGTCCCATTTAGCGACTCCAGAGCTCAAAACGCGTTTAGAGCTTTGACCGCCTCCACCGGTCTTCTGGCCCACTGTGTGTGTGTGTGTGGGGGGGGGGGACTAAAACCCACGAATTTTGCGGCTCGCAGAGAAACGGCTCGGATACGGCCTTGATCTCTGGCACAGCACCGCGGCCGAGGCTGGCCGTGGCACAGATGGCACACTCTGAGGCAGCTGCGGCGATACGTGGCCGACGTGGCCGTCATGGACACCGAGGTCCCGGCCAGGTCGACCAAGGTCGAGGAGAGAGAGAGGAGCACGGGGCTCGATAACGCCGTGATAGCGCCAATGCCGCCCCGACCAAACAAGGCGCCGTATCAGGCCGTGCCTGAAAAAGAGGCCCGTTCCGTTCCTGCGCCGTTCACAGGCTCTTTTTTTTCAGGCTGGACTGGGCTGGACGCGCTAGACGCGGCGGGCGTGCTCGTGATTTGGAGCACGCCCAAGTCGTGCTGTTACCAGGGACTCGGTTACGCGCCCGGTAGTTTCTCCTTCTAGGGTCGCCACAGCTGGAGGCACACTGGAGGCGTCCAGGTGGTGCGGGTCCCTGGCGTCCCGCCTTGCTTCCCGCCACTCCAGCACTGAATAAAGCACTCTCACCCGCATCTTGCTCGTTTGCTACCCCCACCTCTAGGGACGGCAAAATGAAGCGGACATAGCAGGGTGTTCCAAGTGTTCGAGCCACCAGAGCGACTCATTGGCACGCAGAGCGCCCGGAGGTGGGCAACCCATCGGGCTCCACCGATTCCAGCGGCAAGGGTTGCCTACCTACAGGCGCTCTCCAGTATCTCCAGTCGTGGGCCGATCGCATCGGCTCCCAAAGGATCCGGGGCTCCAGCATTTCCAGTCACTACGCCGCCATGGCACCAGGAAGGCGGTTCCAGAGCCCAGCTGGTGAAGCTGTGCAACGAGTCCTTCCCCACGTCATGAACCGTCGGACGACAGGACACCCGTCGAGAGGCTCGCTTATGAGAAATTTTCTAACACGTACTTCACCCACCCGGGCGCCATGTTTATTATGGTTACCGTCTCCACTCGCAACTGGGAGCACTGAAGCCGATTTCTACCCAGGCTAATGCGCTGGAAATATCCAATAATTGTCACAATAATAAATTAAAATGCGACCTTTACAAGAAAGATTAAATTGGCTACAAATTTGGAAGGGACGAGGACTGTCAAAGGCGAGGGACGACTTTTACGACCTAACCGTGCACCCTCGAGAACTTTTCTTGAAACGGCACATTTTACTCTATGAAAGGACTCACCATACGGGCATTGAAATATCCAGTTGTTACCGCATTATTGCAGCCGACAATTCGATTCTAAATTTCACACGACAGCTATGAGTGCGAGAAGTGCCAGAAGCTTCAAAACAGAACTTGGCAGAGCAGAAGTAATGGCCGAACTTCTCATACAAGCTTAGTACATCAGCGAAGGGGAGGGGGGGGGTACACCCGTCGTGCCAACAAGACGCCTGGCTTGGTCGACGGAAATTCGGCGGTATGTCCTGCCTGTTCAAAGAAAAGAAAAGAGCGAAAGAAACCCCTGATGCTTTCAATTCCTTCTAGCGTGTCGAATCTCCGATCAACTTCGTATTTTGGCGCTGATTATTTTGGATTGAGACAGCGAAATATTGCCAACATGACTTCTTCATTATGCTTCATCAGCAGTTCAGAGTTTCATGCTGCTGGAGAAAGAAGGCATTTTCAAGGGCTAATTAAAAGTGAAATATCGAAGCAAGAGGATCGCTCAACTTGGGCTCTTTTCTTCCAGGAGAAACAAAAATACAACAGTACAATCTTTATATTTTGTGATTGTGGCGTTGGCAGCAGAATGACCTTTCATGTTGTTGTCTTTTGTATTTTTGTTGTTTATTGGTGAAAGAGCTGTCACCTTCTGACAAACAGATGTTTTCGTTGCAAAATATGCAGAAATATGCATGTTGCTGTGGTCCTCTCTGCTAGAGGATTGACTTAGACTTTCCTCCTGTAGGTAACACTTCTTTCATGACGTGTCATTGTTGCTTTCTGCCCTGTCAGCACCTTTAAAGGTTGGAATCGTTCCCAGTTTGTCTTTCACTCAGGTTATCCAGGTCTGTAGCTGTGTTTACTATTACAGTCAACTCCACTTTTGCATGAACTTTGACATTATTTTCTCTTATTTATTTTCTTTTGAATACAGGTATGTCCACCTCGGGAAGTGTGGAGTTGGGTATTGCCATTGGCATTTTACAGCGAGCAGTTGAGCTCGACAAAAACAATCGGTTCACTGAATCATTAGTTTGCTACGAACAGGGCTTAAGAGTACTTTTGGAAGTAATTAAAAGTAAGTGACTCACTGCCACCTGGCTCTTTTCGTGAATCTATTGATTATTATCCTTACATTTGTCAATTTTACATTTTAATCGTAGACACAACGGATGGAGCAAAAAAAACTCAACTTCGACTTAAGGTGGAAGAGTACATGACACGAGCAGAATCAATTAAGAAGCTAATAGCTGATAAGAAAGCTCGTGGTGAATACAGGGAGCAGGTTGTAATAGAAGCGGATTCAACTGGTCACAGTTACGAAAGTGTATTTGGCCGATTTTTGGATGCAGAGGTGACTGATATATCAGTTGAAGATCCATATATCAGAAATTTCCACCAGGTACTGGATTGTTTGTTTTAAACAAAAGACATTTGGCTGTCTGCAACTCTTTACCTATTTAAAACATACCTAATTTTCTTTTGCAGTGTCAAAACTTTTTAAAGTTCTGTGAACTAGCAGTCATGAATTGTTCCAATCTGAAAACAATTAGTCTGGTAACAAATATCGGTCACAGCCAACAAGAGGCTCAAGATACAAATTCATGGCTTAATTCATTGAAGAACTCTTTACAACCTCGCAATGTAACTTTGTCAGTAGAAATACGGCCTACACTCCATGACAGAACTATTAGGTAATGACAGCTTCTCAAAATGCAATGTAAGAATGGCATTCTCTTACCTATGGTATCTTATTTTTTCATTTTACAATTTTGTCCCTAGGCTAAGCAATGGCTGGATCATCAAGATTGGGAGAGGTTTAGATTATTTTAAGTCTCCTGAGAATAAAATGGCTCTAGGAGTTTTTAACATGGACTTGAGAAAATGTCATGAAACAACGGTAGATATATTTCATAAAGGAGCTGTAAGTACTATTAGGAAATAAAATACAAACGTTTGCATTGTCATACAAAAATATAATTCTCATTTAAAACAGAACAATACAACAAACTCCATTCATTGGATATAAAACAGTAAATCAAATTCAGCAACACCACCGTTATCAATAACGAAAACAAAACAAAAAGCTTATGGAAGAAATAAATTGAAGCTCTATTGAGGGTCACTGGGATATTTCACACCAATCTGAGCTCGGACCATGTCCTCCATCTTTGATATAATCATGGTCTCTTCATGAGTCAACTTAGGGCTCTCATACAATCCTGTTTAAACAATAGCACATCATAAATTAACACAGTCATAAGGTAGCAATTGTTTTCTGTAGTCTCTGTATCTTTTTGACTGTTAGTGCTTACCCTCCTGAATACAGCGGCGGACCTCAGCAGCTTCATAACGCAGCCCAGCACTGTTAGTGAAATTACATGGCTGAGCAGTTGGAGGCAGAACAAATTCTGAAGACTTGTCTCCAGACACCACAATAGTAGGACACCAGAATGGATCTTTGATCTTCACACATGAAATAGAAGGTAAATATTTCATTTGAAGCCAATTGCAATATATTAACAATAAAATCACTGTAGTTTGAAATTTATTTGGTACCTGAATGGAGCCTTTGGTTCCATAAATGGTAGCATCTTTATTCATGTTAGCAAGGGAGGATGTAGTCAAAACTGCAGTTTTTGACCCAGGGTATGTCAGCACAATGGCAGCACTGTCATCAACACCTTCAGAATTCAAGTGTCCGACTGCTTTCAAAGAGAGCGGCATTGTTGGACCAAAGACCATCACAGCCAGCTGCAGGACATAAACTCCCAAATCCAGGATTGTACCGCCACCTAGATCCATCTGTCTATAAACGAAAACAGGAATGAAAATGATGGCGACGCCCCAGTAAACTCAAACTGACAAGAGGGTTTCTCACTTGACACGTGCTGCTTCAAGATAAACACCAAAGTTGACATTAAGTTGTACGACATCTCCAATAGCTTTGGCAGACAGTTCTTTCCGCACAAACTCATAAGATGGGAAGAAGCGGCTCCAAATAGCTTCCATGAAGAAAAGCTTCTTCTCTTTGGCAAGCTGAAAAGTAATAACATTAGACGTGTTAAAGAAATTCAAAATATGTAAAACAACAACTATGTTTTGAAAATCTACCTTCAATAGTGCTGCTGTGTCACGCTGGTTCATGCATAGGGGTTTTTCACAAAGTACATGTTTCCCATGTTCCAGCATCAGTTTGGACACTTCATAATGGTAAGTATTGATGGTTCCAACATAAACCACCTCTGTAACAAACACGCCACAGTAAATTCAGCATTCTCTCCAAACCTCATTCATATCCTGGATGACATGAACTGACCAACATCCGCATTCTTGGCAAGTTCTTCATACGAGGAGTGCACATGAGGAATGTTATGACGTGCTGCAAAGTCCTTAGCGCGCGCGGGGTCTCGAGCAGCGACAGCTACAAGCCTGTGCTCATTTGCTGGAAGGGTCGCAACAGCTGTGGCGAAATCATGGGAGATGAGTCCTGCACTTGCGATTCCCCAATTGGTCGCCATCTCTGAAAAGCGTCCAAAAGCACAGTCAAATACTGTAAAATGAATAAATCAATGAAAGGAGGGGAGAGGCAGCAATCAACAAGAAGAGAATAAGCGAAGCGCACCCGGTCCGGACGTTCGGACCACCTGTCAGACTGACAAGACAAACCTCTATCAGCAGAAGAGGCAGCAGTAGAAGCCGGCTCGCACTGGCTCGGCCGTTGTCGCTCCGGAGTTGGTGGGAGGTTCGCAAGGGTTTATACAAACCTTGAAAACCTTGAAATCAGGGAAAAGTCAGGGAAAAAAATAGGGTCAGGGAAATCAGGGAAATGTCAGGGAATTTCGCAAAATGCAGCAGAATGTCAGGGAAAAATATATTTGCTGCGACACTGGACCTGTTTTCTGGACAACTGCGGAGGAGAGCGCGAGACACCGGCCGTTCGAGTTCAACCCAATCAATGTTTTAATGCGCTCAAATGTCAGGGAAATTTGCAATTTCGCGTCAGGGAAATCAGGGAAAAGTCAGGGAAATTCTCACTATTTTTTTGTATAAACCCTTCGCAACACCTTGACAAGCGTCTAGACAGTCCTAGAGGGGCACGACAGGGCAGCGGGGAAGGCACTGTACTCGCCTGGCCTCGCAGAACTTTATCAAACGTGATAATCACTTCACTTCAATTGATAGGCGGATGAATGAGGGAGGGGGAGGGAGGCGGGGGCGGGACAGTAATAACAACAACAACAAATCATCTGGGCACGGCCATCTTGACGGGTAGCGTTGGAAAGATGGATGCACGAATTTTCGGGTTTTGCGGGTATAGTCGTACCGTTAAATTCTTCCATTGAAACCCACATGAGTTTTAATGATGAGGGTCTCGCGGTTCCGCCACCCGCAAGATTTTGGCGCCAGACTCCACCGAGCCGTGATTTCCGTTGATTAGACGCGAGTACGCGAGTTTGTGCCGCAGAGGGCGCCACGGTCGGGAGGTTCTGCCACTACGATGAAAATTGAGGCAGAAGTCTTCGATTTTTAATGAATGAAGAGTTTGTAAATGTTAACTGGTAAGGGTAATTTGAAATTTCCGACAGTTCTATTCGGATACTTCTTTTCTCCTGGTTTTTGCGCCCTTATGCCCCGGGCCAAATAGAAAAGCCGTTATGTGACCCTTAACCGCCAAGGATCGCCACGGATAGGCCTAACTAATCAATCTCCTAGTTTTTGAGTCTAGATTTGCAAAATGCCGCCAGTCCGTGACTTTGTATGCGTTATTTTGTTTTTCTCTATGGTACATTCATGACCGCCTTGCTTCAGATTTTAGCTCCGTTTGCTATAAACCTATTGGTAAGGTTATTTTAAATGCTTTGGCAGGGCTTGAAGGGGAGTGGTTTGTTGTGGTTTCATAGTTTCTGGTGCACTTCAGCTCAAAATTAGCATCCGGAGGCAGTATTGCGAAGCCATTTTAATTTTTTAAAGGGTCTGACATTTAAGATTTCATCTTTTTGGTGCAGTCCAAGTCCAGTGTCGTTATTTATGTTATTCTAACCTCTGCACGCCCGGTTGACATGACACATGTCAAAATTGACTAGTGTTTAGGAAGCAGCTTCTTTCCTTGAGCTTATTGACAAGTGCGTCACGTTCTCCACGACTTCATTGTTTTTACGGGCCTGTCATCTTTTCCCCCAGAGAATGAATCGCTTACTTATTATTTTGTTTATGAACTATCGATTGTGTACATATCAGTAAATTTATTCTCTTTACATTTTACCCCTTTCACACATTTTTGGGCTATTTTGTGACAACTTCACATTATTTAATTTCCATAAGATTGATGTAGTGTGCCATGTAGAGTTCGAAGATAAATAAATGGTGACCTAAAGAACCAATAGAATGTTAGATTTGCGATTAAACTGGGTGGAGGTTTGGGCTGACTCGCTGACTCATTTATCTTGATTTTCATTTCTTCCGCCACTATTTCTTCCCCATCCTCATTGCTTCTCCCACCACCTACTGCGTTCAAGTGGGTGTGTTGATAAGCCAGGAATGAGAGCTCTGAAAGTCAGCCTTGTTCATGCATAGTTTTCCCTTTTTTTTTTTTTGGAAATGGCTTAAAATTGTAACAGGCCTAAAATCTGTTCAGTTCTTCTCTATAACTTGTTCTTTCTTTTCATTTTCAGATAAGAAAAAGTGCGGAGGCCTAGCGGGTCAGGATGGGCAAAATTCTGTCCAAAATTTTTGGCAACAAGGAAATGCGAATATTAATGTTAGGGCTAGATGCTGCTGGAAAAACAAGTATCCTTTTTGTCATCAATGTCTGTATTGCAAAATCCTCTCATGGTGTGAATGAATTCTATTAAGTGTGTGTGTTTGTTTGTGTGCTCCTTAACCATAATTTCAGCTATCTTGTACAAAATGAAACTTGGCCAGTCTGTAACTACAATACCTACTGTTGGATTCAATGTAGAAACAGTAACTTATAAAAATGTTAAATTTAATGTTTGGGTGAGTGAAGTTGCAACTTTCCACTTATTTCTGGCTTTTCTGATAAGATAAGCACACAGTCTATGTACTGAAGGCAAACACCCCTCACCATGTGCTTAATTTTTCCACAGCCTGATTATTGCTGTTTGTTGGTTGTTATATTGTTTTCGCTCTCTCGGTTGCAGGATGTTGGAGGCCAAGACAAAATTAGACCACTTTGGCGGCACTATTATACTGGCACCCAAGGTCTTATATTTGTTGTGGACTGTGCTGACCGAGATCGTATTGATGAGGCTCGTCAGGAATTACATCGGATCATTAATGATCGGGAAATGCGGGACGCTATCATACTGATATTTGCAAATAAGCAAGATCTCCCAGATGGTAAGACGTTATTTTAATTGTTTGACCTTGTTTTCTAATGAGTTATTCCTGAGTTAACTTTCTTTTCTTCCTCAATTCACAATGTAGCCATGAAACCACACGAAATCCAGGAGAAGCTGGGACTCACTCGTATAAGAGACCGAAACTGGTATGTACAGCCCTCGTGTGCGACAACAGGGGATGGCTTATACGAGGGACTGACGTGGCTCACATCAAACCACAAACTATGAGGTGAGAACTGCCCAACCTTTTGCTGCCAGGGCTGCCAGGGGTCCAAGACTGAAACTGCTATCGTCCATTAGGCACTCATTGAGATTCTGTCATAAGTTTACGTGTAACACCATCAGACACAAAGGGTTGTCTGCTTCATCTGGGTGCAACATTATCTGGATGAGTGTAAACTGTTGGGCCGTAATCCTGTTCATATTTGATGATCTGTAGATCATTCATCATGGTAGATTAGACAAATCTAAATCTTTGCAAGTCAGTCTTTCTTGTTTGTTCTGATACTTTGGCAGAGCCAGTAGTTTTATATTTGTACATAAGAGAAAATGTGTCAGAATTTCACACCATCACACTCACCACAGTCAGGTTTTCTGAAGTCTGACTTAAGGTAGAGATTGTTCTTATTTTAATTTCATCTCATGTGTGTTAGTTTCATTGTACATTTAAATTATAATGACACACTCTGGCTTCTCTTAAATGTGATGTGTTGTGGCCTACCTACCGTACTGTCTTTTAATTCAGAAGTTCAAATTGTGCTGTAAATAGTTTTGAGTGATAATTGAGTGAGTGCGGTTTCTGGTAATTGGGTCCCAGCAATAAGAAGTTGACATTTCTGAAGTTGCTTTTATCCCATCTTGCCATTGTCAATTTTGATAGGAAGCCATGCTCTTTATACATTTCTTGTTGTAAATGTAAATATAGATTATATTATAATTATCAAGCAAGGACCTTTGCTCTAGTAAGCAATAAAGTGGGTTGTAAATAAAGAGTTAAATATTTATGTACATTAAATAACATGATTACTGGCTCAATTCACATATTTATTGGTTTTGTTGTTTCCTTTTTATAAAAAATTTCTATTTTTGTGCTTTTATTTTCTCATTGTGAAGCTTTGGCTGGTAACTTGTAGACTCTTGCTGTAGGGGTTTCTTGATAATTATCAGTTTCAAAACGACTAACTGAAAATTTAATGTCAATACTGTCTATGCATTTTGTTTTCTGTTTCTTTACCAAGGTGTGGAATGAATTTAATTTACTCTCAAAACATGTACATGAGCACATTTAATTTATTACCTGTGTTAACTCGAATGTAGTTTTGGAGGCATTGGTGTTATGTACCTTTAGCCTGTATATTGCACACTACACACATTCCATCATATTTTTAATGCAGGTATGTTACCAAGTCAAGATGGCATTCCTGTCACATATGTTTATTCATTTATTTTTCTATGTAACCCTATTGAGGTAATGCCTCTTGCCATGTAACGCATCCCCTCCTGTTCTGATATGATTTTAAAATATTAACTGGCTCTTTATGGATTTCAGAAATAACATATTTTAAACAGAGAAAAAACTGAAATTATTTAGCATGCAGATGTCGTTACTTTAATTGTAATTATATTTATGAACTTGTTTGCTATGCGTTTGCCACATTCGAGTAAAATGGATACTTGGTGCTTTCTGCCGATACTCTGTGAGAATACCCTTCCACCATTGTCACCTTCACCCCTTATGAACTACCGATTTGGCCACAGGACGTCTCTTCCTTCTCAAAAATTGTCTCTGGTGCAAAGGGCTTTTTCTCTTCTGTGTGCCCCTTGGCACACTTGCATGGTGGTGCCAGCCACCTGTAGATAACTAATTGGTGTTCACCCCTAAAAAATAAAAAATTAGTGTAGATAGGATATTTAAGATTTTAAGACATTCTTAGACTGACATTTCGTTTTTGTTTGGTGGGGTTGAACCACGATGTTAAAGCTGGTTGCTGGATGCCATCTCTTCAGCTAAAAGCGTATTTATTCATAAATTGGTTGACACCATTGCTGCAGGTTTACTGTTGCCAAAATTTAGAACTTTGTTCCTCATTATGCTGCAGATAGCTTCTCTATTTTCTTCTTCTTTATTTCTCATTTGTGTGTCAAGTCACGTGTGAACCAGAGTTGGGGACTGAAGAATGGTTCTGCTTTCCCCATTCAGAGGCAAGCAGAGGACTGATTCTGTTCGAAGATACCTTACTTTGTTCACCTCTTTTCACTGGAAAGAAATATTTGGAATGATAACCGAATGGACTATTTCAGCTAGTACTGAATGATGTGTTTTTTGTGCAATGCGTTTGTTGAAATTTAAGCCAATTTTGCTTATGTAGATTATCTTCCCAGTCCAGGGACCACATCTTTTTAAAATTAGTTTAAATGAGGCTCTGAATAGTTTGCTTGAATTAAGAGACTGCCTAAGAAGTAACCTCAGTTTGGTGAAAGGAGACACATGGGATGAGCTGGGACCTCCCTTGTACTAGAGTTGTATCCTTGGTCAAACAAACGGAATAGAGGAAAGCTCTTCCTGGAGTCGGGATTTGAACTCGCAGAACTAAGACTCAACTGCCTTTGGATCAAACAAGACCTGTTTAGTGCTCTGCTGGTTTTCATCCATTCTAATTCAATTGATTGTTTCTGCCTGTGTGTCAAGTTAAACATTCTGACTAAAAGTTGTAGGTCATTTTGAATGGTGCTTCAAATATGCCTAGCGTTTCAGAGAAGTTAATAGTGGTCTTAGTTGATCCAGTTTGAAACTTGAAAAATTTTAAGGAATGTCTTCCTTTACACAGGAAAGTGATCAAAAGTACATTAGACCATGAATGTTATTTTCTGTATATATACTGGTGATGGCACTACTCACAACTGTCCATAATTTGGTGACAGTTCTGTGGTCTGGTCTAACAGTGTTTTAGTTGATTAGTAACTGGATCAGAATTCATGGACGGGGGCTTGTATTTATGTGGCTTGAAGTTTTTCATCCAGCAGAAGAAATGAAACACCAAGAAAGCTAGTGTTTGGGTTACCTCATATTAAATAAAAAATTTGAACTGGTTAGATTTCAAAAGTTTTACTGCTAATGAGACAAAGATGTTGTGACTCCTTTGTATTTCTTAGTGTTGTGGATTGTGTTATCCAATTGTGATATGTCATCATTTGAATTGACATTTTGGCTAAGGCATCTTTATAGCGCTTAGAGGAAAAGGTTTCTTTCTTTTATCATCACTAACAAACAAGCCCATTTTGAATTTCTGGTGCCAATCATATATGTAATGTAGCTGCTAGATGTTATTTGCTGTATCTATTTTGTCTTCTTTTGCACATTTGTGTATATACTCCTATATACATGCATATAAATATGTATATATATACATACCCATATATATACATATTTATACTGTAAGGCCATGAAAATTACAAATGAGTTTCCTTGATTTATTGAGGTATAAGGGTAAATATTTTGTTTTGTTTTGTATATTTCACAAAGCACATTTCCTCTGACAATTATTTAGCAGTATCTATTGAAACAACAAGTAGGTGTTTAGATGTGCTTCTTAAGGTTGTTTCAATGCCAAAGTAAAGTATCAGTTAACTATTGTTCAATAATCTGCTCAATTTACAAATAAATGTTGCAGTTATCTGTTAGAAAGCCTAAAATCAGTTTTTGAAACTTATATTTTATTCATATTGGTATTCTCTGCAGTTATTTTTCTCATTAAAAGTGGCTGACTTTTCTTGTATGTTCAAAGAGCTTTTTTTTTGGTAAATCCCATCATTATGCCATTTAAGGTCATCTGTGCTCTTTGTCTACTTAGATTCTATACAATCCTCTGATTGAGATACTCATCCAACAAGCTACATGTATTTATTAACTGTAGGTTTGGTGGTGCTCTAAGCCATGGGCTCATTACAAGTGCTTCAAGTCTTAGTAGCATTTGGCTATTGTTTACAAGATTTTTCTGTGTGAATATTGAATCTCCAAAGTTAAACTATATCAAGGCTGATAGCTGCTGCACTTGGCAGGTAGGAATGAATGACCTAACATCCTCTGGGACACAAATCTGCCGTGTAATGGCTAGTCAAGCTTTATTGTGTTAGTCATTTGCAACACACTTGAACTTTCTTGGGAATTAAAAAAAAAAATGAAGTATGTTCACTGTGGAGTGTCTGAAGTATTATTCTGAGAGAAAAAAATCAGTTACTCCATCATGCCGATAATCAACAGTCTGTTATTCCTGACCTTGAAAATATCATCAGCTTAGCTAGGTAACTCAATGCCAGTCATAAATTTGTATGTAAGTTATTGATTGTTAAATGTTGTGTTTGTCGTCGGGGAAGGAACCATATGTGTTCTTACATTGAGTCTGGAAGCAAATGACCCATTTAATTCTGCGACTCTGTATGATTCAATTTACCTCTAGAGTATCATTGTTAATTGAAAGGAATATAACATGTATGTTGAAGCCACTTCTATTTCAGTCTTAAAAATGTAATTTTAAACCCCATAGCAGCACTACTGTGGGAACTGAACATTTTTCTGATTTTGTTAAACATAGGCATATTATTTATGAAAAAATGTGTATGTTGCTTGACATGAAAATAAAACCCTTTTCCTCTCCATAGAGGCTGCAGTAGAGAATCTTTTTGTTTTCTGCTCCAATCCCTGCCATTGACACTTATACATCGGGGTCGTCCATTTTTGTCGAGAAGGTTGAGGCGCTTCAACTCTTATCTCTGGGCTTGTCTGGGGTGTGAACTGGGTCGACAGATCCACTCATTATTATTGTAGGAACAGGATTTGCAAAGAAAAGCCAATGAAAGAATTAGGATACTCTATTGCTGTATGTTGTAACAGTGCAGATGCAGTCTTGAACAATACTTAACAAGGCTGACATCACACATCACCTCACAATACCAAAGTCTAATCTAACTATCCTATTTGATTTTGCAGGTACTTTATATCCTTGCAAAGAAAACAAAAACGAAAGCAGCACACATGCACAAACTAGCACACAACAGAAAACAATGTCACCCTATGTATTTTCAATACATTTTGTCCATGTTGCCAATGCAATCAAAACCACATCATTCAATGAAAAAGAGCTATACACATAATCTGATATAAGTACATGAAAATTATCACTTGAAAATTCTTTCTGCATCTTTTACCATATATCACCAACAACACACAACAATGGTACATTAAACTAGGATCAAAAAAGGTGATTGAACAATTTACAAAGCTGAAAATGAAGACCATTTCGGGACCATTAATTCATAAAATGTATTAGTGGCTCCATTGAATTTGGAAGCCAGGTCACTGTAAAATAACATACAATCAGTAGAGAGATTAATTGAAGTAGGTAACTTGTTTCAAGAATATATGAACTATCCACATAAGCAAATCAATTTCTGTATTGATGTTCCAAAACAAAGTCATAAAATAACGTATGTATCTTTAGCAAATGAATCCATTCTAGAATCTTAATGATGGAATGTCAAGCTAGAATTATGTACAATGCTTTAAGGAAAGCGAATCTTGTAGCACACAACAACTTAATGGTGTTAGTATGACCTCAAATTTCTAATTCTAATGCATCTGTGCTAATTTGTATAACAAATGCAATGTTGTGCAGTTGGCAACATGACTAAAGATGAAACCACATGAGTATATCACATAGCAGGTTTGATGCTTCCAGCTTACATAAAAAATAAATAGCTTTTAACATAGAATTAACTCCAGGCCTTAGACATAGCTTAAAGTACCTAAACCACAAATGGCACACAAAACGCAAAGGGACCTTGTTTTAATTTGTGTCAGGAGCTGTATGTACACTGATTACAATAACAGTCTAATCGTTAAACATCCCAGAAGATAAAAAGTCTTGAATCTCACTTTGCCCTGGCTTGACAACTGGCACTATGTACTATGTGGCTTTTAGGGGGCGCCGACCGGACCGGCACGGCACCCCCTTCGTCTTCGTCTTCCAAAACAAAAACTAGGAACGGAACGGTAAGGCAGACGGCACATGCAAAGGCGAGCAGCGCCAGAGGCCAGCAGTAGCCAGGAGCAGCAGACCTGTAATCTGCACCATCATTCGGCCAACATGCACACCTAAAGCACTTCATTAAAAATCCACCCTACGGCCAATAGTAAAACAAAACTAGATGAACCACTACTGGTAACTATGCCTGCCCTCCTTTGTACAACTTCTTTCAATATCTTATGCTTGCACTGGCTTAATACTAAAATGGGATTTAACATTAAGGACCTCACATGGACTCTCACGACAAGTACTTTTCAAAATAAGTCTTGCAGCGCTACAAAATTGACACATTTGCAGATTCAAGTATTTAAAATTAGCAATAGACACTTGGAAATTCTTAAGCACCAGCTTAAAACAACCCACAATTTCTTTAACTGCCACTCCTAATGATGTTCACTAAAATTATACAAAACTAGCTTATTGTCTATGGAAGAATAGAGACAGGCTACACTTCATTAGCATGATAAATCATACTGCAGTCTAATTCAACTGATAACAAATCAGGATAAATTCTTGTCATACAGAGCGTTTTTGGCGGTGTCATCAAACTTGTTACATGCTCCCTCTATTCCCTTCCTCCACCTTCAATGGCACACCAGGTGTGTTTGGTTTGGCGGCAGCATTTTCTTGTCTTGTAAAATATTTGAAAAAAAAAAAAAAGACATAACATTTACCATTTAGAAGCATACAGAATAGACACAAATGATGGTTACTTTGGATTCTTAGTAATTGATTGTCCTAGCTTTCAGTAGTTAGACAGAAGACACAAATGTGGCTAAAATAAAATTAAATACAATATCAAGAGAAAATTTAAAAATAATGCTGGTGAAGGCAAGAATAATAGAATTCAGTAGCTCTCCATTCTAGACACTAACCAACATCAGTAAAATTAAATAAATTACATGGAAAAGATTTTCTAGTTTCCTCTCCCAAAATTTGTACACCAGTTAAGAAACAAAAGAAAGTGCTTTTCCAACAGGATTTTAAGAGAAAGGGTCTTATGCATACTCACAAATTCCACATGACAATGTGAAGAGAAACAAACAATTACAGTATGCATAAATAATCCATGACAAGAAAGAATATTGGTCCAAAAATCCAGGTTCAAACAAAAGCACTTCTCTTCATGGGGGACTGCACTGTCGAACCTTGAAAGCAGGTGTTGACGGAGCAGACTGAGTTAAGAATTGAGGCATCATTGGAGATGACTGCATGGGGCCGGAGCATGTGGTAGACCTGAGAAAGATTACAAAATTAATACAGTAGTAATTTGACAACTTGAATGAAAAAGGCTTGAAAGCGACAACAGAACACATTAAACTACCTGTTATGTCGGAGATGACTTTTGACCAGGTGACCAGCAGTAAGTGCTGACATGAGAGATAACTCTCCAGCCAAAACTGTTGCACACACAATGCGGGCGAGTTTTCTTGCATTTTCACCTGGAGTCTGGTTTGGTCCTACAAATATAACAAAACACGTAAGTTATTTAATATACCAGGTGTAACTAAAGAATCTGAAAAAATGTGCAATAAGACTAAAAATTAAAACTATTTACCTTTGACTCCAAGCATTTCAAGGCAGGAAGCTTGCGGTGGTAGAACCGTTCCACCACCTACAGTGCCAACTTCAATACTTGGCATTGTGCAAGAGATGTACAGGTCGTCACCATCTGGGCCATAGGGCTCCATGAGTGTTATGCAGTTACTACTGCCAATATTTTGTGCTGGGTCCTGCAGACAGATTAAACACATAGATAAAAAGAACGCTACAATCAAGGGATCCCCCTGAAAAATAAAAGTATAATATAATTGTGCCCACCTGACCCGTGGCAATGTAAATTGCAGTGACTAGATTGGCCGCATGCGCGTTGTATCCACCGATGGATCCAGCAATAGCTGATCCAACAAGGTTCTTGTTGATGTTAACATCAACTAGAGCGGGAACTGATGTTTTCAATACATCCCTCACAATTTTAGAGGGAACAATTGCCTCACAGACAACACTCTTGCCTCTTCCTTCAATCCAGTTGACAGCGGCTGGTTTCTTGTCTGTACAGTAATTCCCAGAGAGACTAAGGACTTCCATATCTGGGAAATGTTCCTTTGCTGCATGAAGGGCGAATTCGGTTCCCTACAAAAGACTCACTTATTTAGCAAGGTTGCAGACAAAATACCATATTTTTTTGAAGTAAATTTACAAGGAGAGTACAGAAAAAAAGGGTACTGTGTACCTTTGAAAGCATGTTCATGCCCATGGCATCGCCTGTGAATGCAGCAAACCTAAGGAATAAGAGGCGGCCCGCTGGTTTCACTTGAATAGATTGCAAGCGAGCAAAGCGGCTGCTTTTATCAAATCGTTCCCTCAAAATTTCAAAGTTATCTTTATTTTTGATCCATTGCATAACTTCAGATGCCCGGTCCAAGTTAGGTAGACGCACGACAGGAGCTCGAGTCATGCCATCTGAAGTAACTTTCGACTTGATGCCGCAGCCTAAGAGTGCCCGAGCACCTCGGTTGGTGCTGGCAACTAAGCACCCTTCCGAAGTCGCAAGTGGAATAAAAAGGTGTTCCCCATCAAGATTTAGGGGGCCAGCATAGCCGACAGGCACTGGCATGTAGCCAATCACATTTTCACAGCAAGCTCCCATGACCTGAGAAAGGCAAAACCTTTTTAGTGAAGGGAGGACAAGAAGATAAAAAGACCTATCCACAGCATTAGTTTTAGTACAAACTTACATATTGATAATCGTAGTTGCGATAAGGCAGCTGACTCAGAGGTTTGTCTAGCTTGGCTATCTTTGCAAGGACCATTCTGCGAATTCCAACTCCACGCTCCGGGTTGTCAACTTCTTTCTCAATCGTGTAAGCTGGAAGGTGGTTGGCAAACACAAGTGCCGTAATTTCATCATCTGTTAGAGTGCTAGTCTCCCCCTACGGACGGAAATAAATATGTTCAGTTAACACAGAAAAAGGCTGTTAAGTAGGAAATGCATCTTAGCAGTTATAAAGAACCGTCAATACCTTTCTAGCTATCTCAATACATTCCTCCATTGATCTAAGGGGTCCTTCTTGCTTTGGAGGAGTATTATTCTCCTCAGGGACTTTGGCTGAATACTGGCTCGATGGCGTCACTATGACAGGTATATTAGGTGCAACACTTGCTTCAAGCTCTGTTTGGACCTCCTTATCCTCTGTTAAATTTTCATCTGAATCCTCCCTGATCCAAACAACACGTCGACCTTCTGTACAAGAAAATAAAATGTTTTAAGAACATATTTTTTGGCGCAGTTTTTCTTTCTCATACATGGAAGAAAATGAAACATACCATCTTTAGAATCACCAGAAGAAGCCATTTTGTCTGATGGAATAAGTGGATCTTCACGGTTTTCAAACAATACAAATTTCACAGCTAAAGCAAGAAGCAGAATCAAAACCACAATCTGATCAGCACTGACAGTCAACCATCTGAAAGAAACAATACACCATTAAAAACTCCTAGCCTAACTAAAAATCAGGTACAACTTACATTAAAGTTCAAAATCCATAAAACCCAAATCTCTACAAAATGAAAGAAAATTCCTCTCCATTTCACTCCTACTCACTTCATGAAATAGTTGTGCAGGGCACCATCATCAGTGCTATTGTGGTTGAGAATGCGCTCAGCAGAAACTAGCGGATCCACAGGATGCACGTCAGCTTCACTCAATGTCCACCGACTGAAACAAGGACAGGATCAGTTGCAGCCTCACTGCAAGCCCGACACCTTGCAACTGCCAGACTGCTACCAAAGCAGCATAACTGAGACTTAGTCCGAGTCCAAGGGATAGGCGTTATGCATACCATACATATTAAGGCAAAAGTGTTATGCCTAATGCATGCACAAGTAGAGTGCTGCCACGCCATTTTATGGCACCCTGAAAAGCTAACAGTCTCAATGTATCACCTAGAGTGGAAATTCACGAACAGGCTCTTGCCGCCGAGAGGGACACAGGACTAGAAGCGGCTCCATCCAACATGTACAACAGACTGAGCACGGAAAAGCAGTCTGCAGCAGCAGGGAGAACAGATAATCTCTGTTCCCCTTCCCAACTTAGCTTCCACACCCAAAGGGCTGGCGCTGTTATTACCATAAGAATGTACGACTGTGTGGTAAGTAGAGGATACTGCTTCAAAAAATATTTTTGATTGTCAACCTTCATGATTTTTTTAGAATACGCGTCTCTTTTCAGTAATGTAAATAACCTTGCTGAATACCTGTTTGCATATTCTGGGTCTAAAAAGAATTCTTTACCACCGGAAGGAGATTTAGCTAACATTGAACCACAACAAACTCCACCTCTCAACCCATCCTACATACTGAATTAGTTATGTTTACCTGTGTGCATGCACCATCATCAAACCAGCAGCCATAATGACTTTGACTCGCTGAACGACAGGGTTGGGCTTCTGGTCCTCTTCATGTGACAGAGCGCCCTTCATGTCCCATGCCGGCCTCTCAACACCAGCCGATCTAGAAAGCTGCATGAAAGAGGGTGTGAGCCGAATTTTAGCCCGTAGTAATTTTGCTTTCCTCATCGTGCTTTCATGAGTTACTTACCTCCAAAATCAAACTTAGACATGCTGGATAAAAAGTCATGAAGACTATGTAATTAACGATGACTGACATACAGCCAAAACAGCAGAGGACTTCCAGACGTCGAACACCTGTTGAATGAATTAGATTAATTCCACTGATATGAAGACTGATTTTGAGACTGAACAACAAAGGCAAAAGGGACTGAAGGGGCTTGAGAACGAACCTGATAATGTGCCAACACCAATTACAAGTGTTTCAACAATGGTGTCAAGTGTGATGGTGGGTCCCAAGAGAGCAAGGCCCCTAGCAATGTTGTGCCTCACTTCCTCCTGAGTGGATGAGCTCAAAGCATACTGGGCAAGTAGGGACGTTTTTGACAAGTCAATCAGCAAAAGGAAGAAAAAGAGAGCATCCCTGGTAAAACAAAAATGTCATTGTTACATAACATAGAATCCATGATGAAAAGTGTGAGGATAAATCAAACATCGTACTTAAAATCTGAAATGTCACTTCGCATGAAGTTTATGACACTTGAGCTGAACACAAAGCTGGAAAAAACTGTGAAAAGTCCAGCGATTCCTGAGAAAGAAAACAAGAAAGATGCATAGTGTAAAGCTGCGTAAAAAAACGCCAAAGTACTGAAAAAAATCCAACCACTATCGTTGCAAGTCCTTACCCAGGATGTACTTGGATCCTAGCTTTTTCAAATTTCGGAATTGGTAGTAGCTGTACAATACGGCCACACAGCGTATCAGGGTCATAACAATCACATCGATTGCATTGTACTCCTAGAACAAAATAAAAAAGAAAATTTTGAATTGTCTATTATTTAATATGAATTTTAAAAAAAAATTGTAGACAGTTGACTGAGGTAGGTGACAAAGACTGACCTCGCCGTCCTGGCAGCTCTTCCTCCAGTAGGCGTTGCAGTTCTCCTGGAGGTGCAGCTGGCCGGCGGCCGCCCCAGTGCTGCCGGCCGCGGCGTGCGCCTGCCGGTCCACCGTCAGCATGCACAAGGTGAGCGTCAGCGTGGCCACGATCACCTCCCAGGGGTGCGAGGCGCACAGCTCGCCGTGAGCCAGAAACAGGCGGGACACCATCCTGCAACAGGCAGCAAGTGCAGGCGGTCAAAATTCCGGACGCGTTTTGAGCTCCAGAGTCGCTAAATGGGACTCGAACCGAACGTGTGACCCCACCAGTGGATTCCTCGTGCGGAGAGCAATCCATTGGTGGGGTCACACGTTCGGTCCGAGCCCTGTTTAGTTCCGCCACGCAGCCAGGCGACACGGCCAACGGCCGGGGACCGGGGAAGTGCGGCGGGCTCTTCGAGTAGTGCGGCGTGCTGCAGACGAGGCCATTCGTCATTCGCCACACCGGGGGACTCGTCAGACGGGGACGGTGTCGTCCCGTATCAAACGATGAACTGCCAAAACCGGTTCGAGTTGTCCAAAGTCCAAAACGGGCGACGAACTTGCATCACGTCTCTGCCTTGATGCAGTGTCGTGTCGTGTCGCCACGTAGGTAGGCAAACATTCGTTCCCACGGTGCACCAGTGTCGAAAGGGCTGCCAGCCAAGCCCTCGTGCACCCTCTGGCGCCTGTGGGGTGGCCCGTCCCGTCACACACCGGCGTGGAGATGGCGGCCTACCTTGCCCCTGTGAGCACGACAGGGGCGAGGCAGGCCGCCGTCTCCACACCGGTGTGTTGCGGTACGGGGTGGTGGCCTACCTCACAGGCGCTACAGCCCACTCAGCACTCAGGTGCTCGTGGATGACAAGAGAGCAGCTACTGAGCTCAGACGACGGCACAGGGCGTCTGCGGCGACAAACAGGCCCCGCGCCCGCGCTACGTGGCCAGACGCACACAAAGCCCGAAGCCCCCCGAGCGTCTGGACCCCAAAATAATATCCCCTTTCTGAAATAATTACAATGACAACGACGACCGCTCGGCTCGGCTCGGCTCGGCGCTTCCGTCCCGGAGGCGTTTAGCCAGAGCGGCCTTGCGGCCGTGCCGACGGGGCGGGGCGGGAAGGTCGCGAAGGAGAGCACCGAGCAGGACGCACAGTGGGCCAGAAGACCGGTGGAGGCGGCCAAAACTCTAGACGCGTTTTGAGCTCCAGAGTCTCTAAATAGGACTCGAACCGAACGTGTGACCCCACCAATGGATTCCTCGTTCGGAGAGCAATCCGTTGGTGGGGTCACACTTTCGGTTCGAGTCCTGTTTAGCGACTGGAGCTCAAAACGCGCCAAGCGTTTTGTCCGCCTCCACCGGCCTTCTGGCCCACTGTCGGGACGCCGGCCTCGCAGAGACTTAGCAAGGAGGCGGCGGGTCCGGCACATCCACGCCACGTCGGCCACGTGGTACGCTGGTACACTGGTACGTGCGCAGGGAGCGGGCAGGGAGCGCCCCCGCCACTGCCGCCACATTGCGGGATAATGTGTCAGGGCCACGCCGACTGCCGTTTTGCTTCTGCTTTCATCTCCCGGTGGAGGCGACAGGCGAGGCACGTCGTCGCCGAGTTCAAACACCGGCCGCGCTCCGCGCTCCGCCGCCAGGGCAGGCAACCCAACGCGCACCAGTGTACCGCCGCCTCGCCGCTGCTCTGCTGCGCAGTGCGGCCTGCCTGTCCGCCCATCTTCAGTTTGTTTACGGTTCTTGCACTCGGCTGACGCTGGCGCGCTGGCGCGGTGACGCGGGCTGGAGAAAGCGTTTGAAGGCCACGGCGCGGCCGCGGGGAGCCGGCGGGGAGCGTCGCGCCGTCTGGACGACACGACGCGGCGCGCAGCGCGACACGTCAGGTGTGTGGATTAGGTAACCGGATCAGCCCCACCAGCCTTCCTGGGCACTGCCAGGGCGGCCAGGGCACTGCAGCCGGCAGCCGCTGTCTCTCTCGCACCCCTGCGGGGCCTGCGGGACGCCCCGCGAGTGCGAGAGAGACGGAGTGTCGGAATGCCGGGATGGCCGCTCGGCGTCGCTCTGCGTCGCTCGCTCCCCCAGGGCTACGGCGCACAGTGGGCCAGAAGATCGGTGGAGGCGGACAAAACTCTAGGCGCGTTTTGAGCTCCAGAGTCGCTAAATGGGACTCGAACCGAGCGTGTGACCCCACCAATGGATTCCTCGTTCGGAGAGCAATCCACCGGTGGGGTCACACGTTGGGTTCGAGTCCCATTTAGCGATTCTGGAGCTCAAAACGCGTCTGGCGTTTTGTCCGCCTCCACCGGTCTTCTGGCCCACTGTGCGGCGTGCACCTTGCCCGCCTTGCCGCCGCACCCTGCTGCCGCGCGGCCAGCACGGACGACGCCAGGCACGGCGGCACGCCGGCATGGCCAGGCACAAGGTGGCCACCAAGGTGGTCGGGCCCTGCTCGACCCTGCCACTGCTAATTCCACGAGACGACCGCCAGCCCGCCGCGCCACTGACCCACATGGCGACCAGCACGGCCACCACGTGGGAACCGCGGCGAGGCGGCCGGACGGCCAAGGACGCGCCAGGGTCCAGGGGGTCGGCCCGCTTCCTGGAGGCCAGCACGGCGATCAAGCCCTGGACGTCCTGGAATCTTCCCACGAGCCGCCAAAGGGCAGTGTAGGCCCCCGGTCGGTCCCGGTGGCCGGCACCGCCAGGCACGTCGCCGACGACGCCCGTCCGTTCGTTGACCGCCCCCCGCCCCGTGGGGACTTCCCCGGCGGAGATGCGCCAATCGACCAGCCTGCGGCGTTCACTGCGCGCTGGAGGCTTAGAAGGGCTCAAACGCCGTCAAAGACGCGCCGCCGGAAGGCGCGAAGCGCGGAGCGACGCGGCCGTACCCGGTACCGGCGTGGCCGGGCAGGCCGGGCGTGGCGCGGCGGGTCAAGGTCTGACGAGCAACAAGGAGCGTAACACCCGCAGATGGGAGGGCCGGGGCGGCAGGCTTCAAGCCCTGGCCCACCGCCAGCCCGCCTTTTGCGCCCAACGAAATCCCCCCTGACCTGGACAACGTCGACAACGTCGACAACGTCGGTGAGGCAAGGCGGTGAGGCAACGCGGCGCGCCGACAAAACGACGAGAAAACTCACCCGGTCATACGCACACTCGCGCCAGAAACAACAAACCCAACTCAGCCCTCTTTTTAGGGGAAAATTGTTTTTAATATGATTTGTTTTTCGCGGTGTACGTCCCGGCGACATTCTTTTGCATAAACTCTAACCTTGCCGGAGCGCTGCGCTCCAGACCCGGCGGCCGTCGGCACACTGTGGGCAACAAGGTGGCCCCTGCGTTCGCCTGCCTTCGCCTGCGTTGCATGACGCGAGAGGAAGTGACCTTGCGTCGCGTCTCTCTCGCACTCTCACTCTCCCTCGGCCGGCCTGACATAACGGCGCCGCCTTTCGCGCCAAAACGACAGCGCGGGAAATTCAAACCGAAAGGCGACCGCTGCGCGCGTACCTGCGTCAACTTTTCATTTGAAAAGGGTTAAAAAAGAAATGGGCTTGATTTTATTTCCCAGTCTCCGTGGACTCCTCGGAAAGATGGCGCACGTTCGCGATGTCATCAAACACACGTCCTTACCCGCTCAATAATTCAACGCGTTTCTTTTATTCTTTCTTTTATTGGTTTCCAAATTTACGCGGGGTTTTCCCGTCGGGCGTTGGGATTCGGCGTGCAGCTGCAAGGTGCGGTGGGCGCTCCCCTCCGGGATGAGAAATTCAGCGCACACGCCCGCCAGCACGCCACTCGTTTACTCGTTTCGGACGCGGAAGTGACGCCGGTGACGACGCCGGCGGGGTTTGGCCTGGGCTCGGCCGCCTGGCCAGGCGTGCGCGGCCTGTCAAACTATGACGCGCGTGTCTGAGCGGGGCGTGGCGGGGCGTGGCGGGGCGTGGCGGGGCGTGGCGGGGCGTGGCGGGGCGTGGCGGGGCGTGGCGGGGCGTGGCGGGGCGTGGCGGGGCGTGGCGGGGCGTGGCGGGGCGTGGCGGGGCGTGGCGGGGGCCTAGCGAGCAGCAACAACAATGTCAGTAGGGCGTCGACGGCGTCGTCACTGTCGACAGGGCCGTGCCTGGCCGTGCCGGCGTGCCAGAGGTCAGTGGGGAAAGCACACTTGATGATTCCAAGTGGTTTGGCTCCACTTGTTTCCACGGCGGCCTGCCCCTGCCGGCCCGGTGGCCCGGCCGGCCCGGCCCCAAACCTCAATGGGTGTCCGAGGCTTCAGAGGCAACAACGGGGTCGAGCGCACAGCGCGCACAGTGGGCCAGAAGACCGGTGGAGGCGGACAAAATTCGAAACGCGTTTTGAGCTCCAGAGTCGCTAAACGGGACTCGAACCGAACGTGTGACCCCACAAATGGATTCCTCGTTCGGAGAGCAATCCATTGGTGGGGTCACACGGTCGGTTGGAGTCCTATTTGGTCCCGCGGGCGCGCCGGGCCTGCCGGGCCTGCCGGGCCTGCCTACCACACAGGCGCCTTGACCTAGACGGGCAGACGGCCTAGACGGCGCGGCGGCCAGCTGTGCCGGCCTCGCGGGCCTCGTGGCGCCGACGCCGCCGAGCCGAAGCGCGCCGAGACCCACCAGCCAATCGGCAAAAGTTACGGACCTGTGCAATTTCCTCCCCCTCCCTCCCCGCCGAGCTCCCCGCGCAGGAATCGCGCAAAACGTGCGGAAGTTGGAGTGAGCAGAGGCGTTACCCAACGGCCATGCGGGGCGCGGTGCGGCGCGGTGCGGACCAGCTCATACTTTCACCCGCGTGGCGTGGCGCGTGGCGCCTAGCAGTGCCGCGCCGAGCCAGGCCGCCAGGGATGATGGAGCGGCCGCACAGTGGGCCAGAAGACCGGCGGATGCGGCCAAAACTCTAGACGCGTTTTGAGCTCCAGAGTCGCTAAATGGGAGTAGAACCGAACGTGTGACCCCACCAATGGATTGCTCTCCGAACGAGGAATCCATTGGTGGGTTCACACGTTCGGTTCCAGTCTCGTGGGCCGCGTTGTCGGTGTGGATGCAAAACGGTGTAGCAGCAGACGACGCGAGCGCGCCAGCGCGACGCTGAGACGCCGGGACGGTGAACCGGACGGGGGGAGCAGGCCCTCGGTGCGGGGGTACCGGAACTGGGTACCGGGCGCACCGGAACCGGGTTTGGGGACCGCATAACGAAAAGTGGGCCAGCCGTGGCCGCCGTGGCACGCTGCTGGATTCCAGAGCGAATATGACGCAACTACACCGGAAAGACGCTTTGACCTGCGTGTGGTATCTGCTTCCCGACATCGCCGAGCCACGGCCACCTAGCGGGCTGCTACACACTGCCAAAACGACCAGTGGCGCGACAGCCGACGCTTCATAAATGCCAACAATGCAGGCACTAAGGGTGTCCGCTAATAGAAGTACGTGAGGCATTTCGACAAAGCGAGGGCGAGGCGGCGAGGCTGCACGCAAACGCGTCAAGCGTCCCCATTACCATGCCAATGCCGGCCGAACCGAACCTTCGGCGGCGCCACTGCCAATAGAAGGTGATTCGGGTCCGTTCGGCCGACTTCGGGGCCGACTTCGGGGCCGACTTGGGGCAAACGAGGCACTTCGGCCGCTACCCAACTGGAGTGAAAGCATCACTGCATGAGGAAGAAAGCACGATTGCCTCCCCCACCTCACTCTGCAGCACTCTGCAGCAACTCGGAGGGAATTCCAGAGTTCAGGGACCCGGCTCGTCAGCCACGACAAAGAGCATTTCGAAAACGGCTACACTGTTCCAGACCGGGCTGCCCGATGAACCACCGACCGACCGACCCACAAAAACAACAACAACAACAAGGGCTCCGCGTTTATTTCCATGGCAGTGTCCACGGCGTTTACCCTTTGAACAGGTCGCTCGGCGAAACGCAAACCGTGTTTACAGTGCACACACACAGAGAGATACATGAGCAGGGCCACACGTGGGCCGGCCGCACGTGAGGCCCTCACAGTGTGGGCCCTTTTGCCGCGGGTGTCAAGCAGTGTCAAGCCCATCTCGATGGCGTCAGTGTCTCCGTCTCGCCGGGGAAGGCCACGCCGCCGGGCCACGCCGGGCCAGGTCAAAAGGGCCGGGGGTGGAGGGAGTGGGGGCGGGGCCGGAAAATGGACGGGGGACCTGTTAAGCGAGTCTAGTCCGCCCGACTAGTCCGTCTGGTCCTGGCAGATAGCATCGGATGCATGACCGGGCACCTTTCGGTCTAGACGGCCCACAGTGGGCCAGGAGACCGGTGGAGGCGGCCGAAACTCTAGACGCGTTTTGAGCTCCAGAGTCGCTAAACAGGGCTAAACCGAACGTGTGATCTCACCAATAGATTCCTCGTTCAGAGAGCAATCTACTGGTGGGGTCACTCGTTCGGTTCGAGCCCCATTTGGCGACTCTGGATCCCAAAACGCGCCTAGAGTTATGGCCGCCTCCACCGGCCTTCTGGCCCACTGTGCGGCAGCCCCAACATCTCCCGAGGAGGAAGGATCCTTTTGAGGCCGAGCGGGTAAACGACCCCTGCTAACCGCCTCAAAACCCCATGGCTGACAAATTCTTAAACTTCAAGCCATAATTTTAAGTCTGTGTTGGGACATTTCATTACGACAAGCCGCGTTCTCATCCAATCAAACTTAAAAGGAGTGACAAACAGCTTTGTCGAAATTGGAATTTGAATCCACGCGGGTCTATCGAAACCCGTGCCGTGCCGTTTCCCGTTGGACGGGCCGGCTTGCAGTTACGGCACTGGTAGGACAAAGTGGCGTGAGAGAGAGAGAGAGAGAGAGAGAGAGAGAGAGAGAGAGAGAGAGAGAGAGAGAGAGAGAGAGAGAGAGAGAGAGAGAGAGACGGCGCGTCCTTCCTGGCCGTCCTTGCCGCCCGGGCCGCCCCGGACCGGTTGGAGTGAGTGCGTGACGCAAGAACAGGACACGGTGATTCATGAGGGCGGGTAGGGGCTCGCCTGCTGTGCGTGCACTTCACCCAGACCGTCCCGAGGACCGTCCCCGCCGACGGTGTCGGCTTGGACCACCAGTGGACCACCACACCGACCTGCTGGCTGCCTGCTGGCTGGCTGCTGCCTGGATCGTAGCGACGATGCGGTGACTCTAGGCGCGGCGCATCGACGCTGCAGTCAATCCACTGGGTGGCACACTGTAGGGTTCACACTGCACTGCACTGCACTTGGCCGCTGCTACGCTGGCACACTGCTACACTCGCGCTCCGGCCGCGCACCGGCAGCGCATCTCCGTGGAGGGGGTCTCCTTGTGGCCGGGCAGGCCGGGCAGGCCGGGCAGACGATGTGTTCAGAGCGGGGCGAGCCGACGCACTGGGCTCCTCGCTGCCTTGCTGCCTCGCTGCACCGCGTGCCCACCACTGGGGCTGGGCCGGCTGGGCCCCCTGGGGGGCGTGGGGCCCTAGGGAGGGGGCTCAAGGCGGGGCGGGGCGGCTGGACAGCATCGCGACATACCTAGCAGGAGGGGGGCGAGGTCAAGGGACCAAGTTGGGCAGCTTGTCCGAATGGTTTTGGTTATGACCATCCACGGCACGGCTGGATCACCATCGGGGGGCTGGGCTCGCCCGGCAACGCAACCATTCAAGCTCGATGGTGATCAATGGTATGATCATTGGTGGTGATCAATGGTGATGATCATTGGTGGTGATCAATGGTGATGATCAATGGTGATGATCGATGGTGGTGATCAATGGTGGTGATCAATGGTGATGATCATTGGTGGTGATCAATGGTGGTGATCATAGGTGGTGATCAATGGTGATGATCAATGGTGATGATCATTGGTGGTGATTAATGGTGGGCATTGGCCACTATTAGGCCCAGCACCAATTTTCTGTCAGAACACGCACCTGTCACTGAGTGTGTGTGTGTGTGTGTGTGTTGGGGGGGGGGCAACATGAGTCAGTCGCGGGTCAAACAGAGCTAAAACAGCAATCGGATGGCTTGCATCTGACAACAACAAAGAAAGCGCCGGTATTGACAGAACTCGCCGAGGCGCGGCGAGGCGCGGCGAGGCGCGGCGAGGCGACTATACCCCACTGCGACTCCAGCTCTGCCCGGCTCCGCGGCTCCGCCCCCACATCTCACCGCTCACGACCACGAGGGCGTATCTACCCTAGGTGCAACTTTCCTCCCTTTTACAGGAAAAATACTTTTTGGAAAAGTAACGGGGTCGTTCTCGACGCCGAGATGACACGGCGCGATTAAATGCGTGATGGACGGCTTGGCGCTTCCCGGTATCGACTCGATGCCGCGGAACCCTGTGGAACCGCCACCGCACAGTGGACTAGCTACAAGGCCGGCGCCGGCGGCCAAAACTCTGGACGCGTTTCGAGCTCCAGAGTCGCTGAAAAGGGCGCGAACCGAACGTGTGACCCCACCAATGGATTGCTCGTTCGGAGAGCAATCCATCGGTGGGGTCACACGTTCGGTTCGGCCCCATTTAGCGACTCTGGAGCTCAAAACGCGTCCGGGATTTTGGCCGCCTCCACCGGTCTTCTGGCCCACGGTGGCCGACTCACCGCTTGGCGCGGCTTGACGCTTCCACGGCCCCAGGCGCCAAGTTTCTCCGATGCCACTGATGCTGTCGATGCCGTTGTCCCCGTGTTGGAGCCAGAGACCCTGCTCCTGCGAGAGTCAGAGCCAGCCAGGCGGACTCGTTGCAGTGTTGCCAAAAGCCCCAGTGCACCAGTGTCCAAAGGGTTGCCAACCTCAGCCTGCCCACTGGGCACCTTCTCGCGGGCGAATCACAGATAATGCCCAGCCAACCTAGGTTGGCAACCCTTTCGGTACTGGTGGTGCATCGTGGGTATTTCTTTTGCCTAGTTTACGTAGCAGCACCAACTCGTGACGTGGTTCGAAAACACAAGTCAGCCGACAGGCGCTGCACTGTTACTGTCTTACTGTTCCGCCGGGCCGACGAGCCAGACTCCTCTCGCGTGACTGTACAAGTCCGCTATCTTCTCCCGGCCACGCGACACGCGCCCGGACGACAACGTGCGATTCGGATCGCGAGCCAATCATCGCCCTTTGCAGCCACACTCGAGTGTATCCAACGCACAGTGGGCCAGAAGACCGGTGGAGGCGGCCAAAACTCTAGACGCGTTTTGAGCTCCAGGGTCGCTAAATGGGAACCGAACCGAACGTGTGACCCCACCAATGGATTGGCCTTCGAACGAGGAATCCATTGGTGGGGTCACACGTTCGGTTCGAGTCCTGCTTAGCAACTATGGAGCTCGAAACGCGTCTAGAGTTTTGGCCGCCTCCGCCGGTCTTCTGGCCCACTGTGCAACGCCACCGGCTGGGCTTTCTAGAAGCGGAAGGCGACACAAGACTGGACGCGCTAGCCGAGCCGGCGGAGCCAGAGGCATATTGGGCTCCAAGGGCAATGGGTCCGCGGTTTTCGCCACGGGCCGGGGTAAACACAATACATTCTCCCCCTCCCCCTCTGTCTCTCTCGCACACACCCAACGGGTGGCCCATCGTCACCTTGAGTCGCATTGAGGGGGCACGGCGCGGCGGCCCGCGGGGCTGTGACCCGACCGACAGGGAAGTCGCGGGTTCGAGCCCCGCCCGCCGCCGAGTCGAACGCCTCTCCTAAGTCAGCAAACTTGAATTATTTTGCGATTCGTGGTGAAAGGCAAGAGATGAAAAACTAGACATCCGTGTTAAATTGGAATTCGAACTTGAATTTTAAACCCAAGTCATTCATTGGATGATGACTCTTCCAGGTCTAGCCGTCCGCGAGACACACACACACACACCATAAAATGGCAACAAAGTTTGTCAAGGTTGCGCGGCGTGTTCTCGCGAAGCGATAACGAAATAATGCACCACGCGTGTGGCGGGTCCCGATTCAGCAGTGTCGGGGGTAATTCGGGTCGCTTGAAAAAAGGGGCGGGCATCAATGTCCACGCGTCATCTCAGCGACTCGTTCGTCTGCGCCATTTCTGACGAAGAAACGCTGTCGTTCCGTTTTTGCGTTGTGCATCACACACACAAACAGACACACACACACACACGCACGCTGACGCAACAACGCAATCGACTTTATGCGTGCGGCTGCGCCGGGCTCTACGCTACAGCGCCACTCCTCCCTTTTAATGCCCTTTTGTTGTTCTCGCGTTGATACTTTAATTCACCGCTCGGCGAACGCGACGCGCACAACGCGCCAGATTGCCCGCTTCGAACGACGCAGCGAGAAGGAAAAAGGAAAAAAAAAAGAAAACCTAAGCGGGGTTTGAACCCGCGACCTTGGCAGTGGTGCTTGGCAGTGTACTTTCACCTGCAGCGGCGGCGCGTCGGACATCCCCGGCTCGTTCGATATTTATCGATGGCGGCGGGATACGCAGTGATACGCAAGGCGGCGCAACAAAGCATCAAGGGTAAACCGATTGGCAGTGGCGTGGCGGCGTGGCGCGTCGGGTTGACGTCCTGCGTCGTCCTGCGTCCCGCGCGGTGAGCCGGCTGTATCAGCCGCAACGCACCGGGCACCGCACAGTAGCCGAAATCCAGGACGCGTTTTGAGCTCCAGAGTCGCTAAATGGGACCTCGAACCGAACGTGTGACCCCACCAATGGATTGCTCTCCGAACGAGGGATCCATTGGTGGGGTCACACGTTCGGTTCGAGTCCCTTTTAGCGACTCTGGAGCTCAAAACGCGCCTGGCCGCCTCCACCGGTCTTCTGGCCCACAGAGAAACGCCTGCCAGGTAGGCAATCAGCGCATGCGTGCGTAGCGGGATTGCCTACCCTGCTCGCCGCAGGCGCTCTGCGCAACGCTCTGCGCAACGCTCTGCGCAACGCTCTGCGCAACGCTCTGCGTGAGACCCAAGGGGATGCAGGAGGCTGTGAGGGCGAGCTTGGTGTGCTCGGGGTGGCGACGAGGCGAACCAGGCCGACGAGAGTGCAGCGCCGGCATGCGGCTCGGGAGAGGCGGCCTTCGCCGCCGCTTTGCCCGGCTTCGCCGCCTTTTAAACGGCGCGCCAATTTTTTTCCTCTTCCGGCGTCTCCCCTTGACCTGGACTCCGCGACTCCGCACCTGTCGAGGCAGGAAACGCGCCGGGCAGAGTGTGGACAGCTCGGACAGCTTGGAGAGCTTGGACAGCCTGTCACCGGGACATCAAGGGCCGGCGGCTGTACTCGGCCATCACCCATGGACCGAAGGCCGGGGGCGCCGAGGGCCTGGCCAGGCCTGGCCCAGCACTGCTAATTACTTAGCACCGCGCAGCCACGGCCAGGCCGCCAGAGGTCGCCGTCAGAGGTCCCCGTCGGGGGTCCCCGTCAGAGGTCCCCGTCAGAGGTCCCCGTCAGAGGTCCCCGTCAGAGGTCCCCGTCAGAGGTCGCCGTCAGAGGTCCCCGTCAGGGGTTCCGGCCGGACGTCCGGGCGGCGTGTCCAGGGTGTTGCGGGGTGTTGCCCTTGGCCGGGATCTAGAGCAGGGCCTCGCATGCTGACTTGGCGACTTGGCTCGGCGCTTCGCACGCTTCGCACGCTTCGCACCGCGTAGGTAATGACAGCCTGCACGGCGTGGCCGGCGTGGCCGCACCGCGCCGCACTGCCGGACGCACCGCCTCGCCTCGACCGCGGCACCGCGCGCAAGGCCACGCAAGGCCCTGGCAAGGCCTCGCCGAGGGTCGCCCTACCCGCACCCCAAAGCCACAAGCCACAACCGGTATTTGAACCCGCGTCCGCAGTCCGCAGCCCGCCAAGACGCGACCGGCAATTGTTTCGTCCTCGCGGCGACGCGGACGCTCCTCTCCTAGTGCCCGCCTGGCCGCCTGGCCGCGTGGCGAGGCAGGGCGATGACGCTGCCCCACAATAGAGCGCGCGCGTCTGTGTGTGCCTGTGTGTGTGAGGGTTCAGTGTGTTGGCTAGGACAGGGCCTTGGACAAGCCTGCAGGGTTCAGGGCCAGACAGAGCATCGGCCAAAGGCGAGGCAAAGGCAATGGCCCTTCTTCGTTCGTCGTGACCCTTTCCGCGTCCTGGGGCCCGGCCCGGCGGTCTCTCTCGCACTCATGGGGCGCACAGTGGGCCAGAAGACCGGCGGAGGCGGCCAAAACTCTAGACGCGTTTTGAGCTCCAGAGTCGCTAAATGAGGTTCAAACCAAACGCGTGACCCCACCAATGGATTGCTCTTCGAACGACCAATCCATTGGTGGGGTCACATGCTCGGTTCGAGTCCTGTTTGGCGACTCTGGAGCTCAAAACGCGTTTAGAGTTTTGGCCGCCTCCACCGGACTTCTGGTCCACTGTGGGGCGTCCCGGGCAGGGAATCAGACCACGGAACACAGCGGGACGAGGCGGCAGAGGCAGAATTGAAAAAGAAAGTTGGACCCATAAAAGATGAACGGCAAATGTTTCCCACGACACGACGCCCGCCGACGGTGTGCCACCAAGTGCGCCACCGTCCCGGGCGTCCCGCCTCGCGAGGGTGGCATCCGCAGTGACCGCCTGCACGCATTCGCACGCCGCCCCGCTGCCCCCTACTTTCCCAGGGCGTCAGACAAAGACCGACGACCGGCGGCGTGGCCGGCGGCGCGGCCAGCACCCCGCGTTACATCAGCGGCCGCGCCTTGCCCAGCCTTGCCTCGCCGGCGTGCTGGCCGCCGAGCCGCCGAGCCGCCGACACTGCCGCTCCGAGTAATCGGTGCGGTAATAGCATGGAGCGGCAAATCGGAACGAATCAATCAGGAAGAGGGGGGGGGGGAGTAACACGCGCCACACGCCCACCATTTCGACCACTTCCGACCGCACCACAGTGGGCCAGAAGACCGGTGGAGGCGGCCGAAATTCCCGACGCGTTTTGAGCTCCAGAGTCGCTAAATGGGACTCGAACCGAACGTGTGACCCCACCAATGGATTCCTCGTTCGCAGAGCAATCGATTGGTGGGGTCACACGCTCGGTTCGAATCCTGTTGAGCGACTCTGGGGCTCAAAACGCGTCTTGAGTTTTGGCCGCCTCCACCGGTCTTCTGGCCCACTGTGCGCACGCCGTTAAACCCCCTGACCGGCCGGTCGACCACTGGCCGAACCCCGAATCCGGTTTTCCGGCCGGACCGCTCCGGCGGACTGATTCCGAGGGTCGTCGCTCTGTCTCTCTCGCACCCGGACGGTACCGGACGGTGGCCTCGTGAGTGCGAGAGAGACGGAATGAGGCCGGGGCACCGTAAGGGTACCGCGGTCCCAGATTCGGCCGGAAACGCCACGCCAGCGAGCCGCGCGGGAAAAGAAAGTGTCCGGAAATGCGTTGCTGCAGCAGTCACAGTGCAGGCACGGCGCGGCCATGCGGCCGTCGCGACGCGGCACGCCGGCACGGCCACGCCGAGGCTGTGCTGGCGGCACGCTGGCTGGCAGGGTTGGCACGCTTACACAACCCGCAGCAACGCGCGGCGCAGCAAGCAACGCGTTCGGCAATCAGGCGGAGATGGCTGCGTTCATGTTCACTACCGACAGTGCTTTCGTCGCTCTGTCTCTCTCGCACACATGCGACGCCTCGTAGGACGCCGTAGGGTGCGAGAGAGACAGAGGGAGCTGCAATGGAAAGGAAAGTGATGGTTCAAAAGTGGCGCACTGGATTGGCCTGCCTGGATGGGCCTAGGCTAGCCTCGCCTCGGGTAGTCCTACACCCACGGCGCCACTGTGCCACGGCCCACGGCTAGCCTCGCCTCGGGTAGTCCTACACCCACGGCGCCACTGTGCCACGGCCCACGGCTAGCCTCGCCTCGGGTAGTCCTACACCCACGGCGCCACTGTGCCACGGCCCACGGCTAGCCTCGCCTCGGGTAGTCCTACACCCACGGCGCCACTGTGCCACGGCCCACGGCTAGCCTCGCCTCGGGTAGTCCTACACCCACGGCGCCACTGTGCCACGGCCCACGGCTAGCCTCGCCTCGGGTAGTCCTACACCCACGGCGCCACTGTGCCACGGCCCACGGCTAGCCTCGCCTCGGGTAGTCCTACACCCACGGCGCCACTGTGCCACGGCCCACGGCTAGCCTCGCCTCGGGTAGTCCTACACCCACGGCGCCACTGTGCCACGGCCCACGGCTAGCCTCGCCTCGGGTAGTCCTACACCCACGGCGCCACTGTGCCACGGCCCACGGCTAGCCTCGCCTCGGGTAGTCCTACACCCACGGCGCCACTGTGCCACGGCCCACGGCTAGCCTCGCCTCGGGTAGTCCTACACCCACGGCGCCACTGTGCCACGGCCCACGGCTAGCCTCGCCTCGGGTAGTCCTACACCCACGGCGCCACTGTGCCACGGCCCACGGCTAGCCTCGCCTCGGGTAGTCCTACACCACGGCGCCACTGTGCCACGGCCCACGGCTAGCCTCGCCTCGGGTAGTCCTACACCCACGGCGCCACTGTGCCACGGCCCACGGCTAGCCTCGCCTCGGGTAGTCCTACACCCACGGCGCCACTGTGCCACGGCCCACGGCTAGCCTCGCCTCGGGTAGTCCTACACCCACGGCCAGCCTAGGGCTGCCCCGGCTGCCCAGCGTGGCGGTCCAGGAGAAAGTCACTGGATCCAACGGCCGAACGGCCGAGCAGTGGCGCGACAAACGAGTCACCTCTCGGGTTACTTTAATTCCCACTTTTTGAGTCGTCCGAGGCATGCTTGTGTTTTTCCCTCTTCCTGGGGAAGACCAGGGAAGACCGCTTCGTTGTCTGGGTCAGCAGAGCAAGGGCGAAGCGAGCCAACGACTCAGTCGTGTTCCGTCGGAAAGGTTTCCGAACCATCCGCCCAGAATCCCAAATCCCAAAGCTTTTGTTTACCAACCGGTTCGAGGCAGGCAGTGGCAAGAGCAGTGATCTCCCGGAGTCGGCCGTCCAGAGAAAGGCCGGGGTATAGAGTGGGCTATTTTTGGACGCGACACTGAATCCTCCAAAACGAGTGTGCCACTTGTTCCAAGCCGTTTCGCCTCGGCGGCGAGAGCGAGAGAGATAGGTGTTCGGTCTCCTGCGCACAGTGGGCCAGAGGACTGGTGGAGGCGGACAAAACCCTGGTCGCGTTTTGAGCTCCAGAGTCGCTACACAGGACCCAAACCGAACATGTGACCCACCAATGGATTCCTCGCTCGGAGAGCAATCCATTGGTGGGGTCACACGTTCGGTTCGAGCCCCATTCAGCGACTCTGGAGCTCAAAACGCGTCCGGGGTTTTGACCGCCTCCACCGGTCTTCTGGCCCACTGTGCCGCGGGGGCCGCGGGGGCGTGGACCGGCCGTCACACCGAGTCACACGGTCACACGGCACGAGTCAGTTAGTCTGTACAGTACAGCGAGGCGCCTTTTATGTAATGGGAAATCCCCGAGAAGGCGCCGCCGTTGCTGCACTATTTTGGGCCCTGGCCACCCTTGGCCACCCTTGGCCACCCGCCACCAAACTGGAAAACACTAGGTGCCCGTTGCACTTCCTCGTGCAAGTGCAACGAAAATGATTTTGTACGCATTCCCCAGACAGAATCTCAAAGAAATATCAAAATTGATGCGTTTTCTCACGGGAGGGATCTGCTCAATTCATTCCAGTCTTCTCCATGTTCATCGCAAAAATAATTCATTGACTTAAGTTAAAATATTATTGATGGAGGGACAAGGGACCTCAACGGGGTAGAACCACTCTGAGAACACGTATAAAATGGGCACTATCCAATCCCATTGCAAGCACAACCACACCATACAGTTGCATTGGAATGAAGCTAAGGTTCATGACTCAGATGGAATGACTCAGATGAAATAATCATAAAGTCCAAAACCTGAGAGATGCAGGTGACATTGACATTTGCTGCCGACACCCTGCCCTTTCCATGCCATTGAGGAAAGCTTGGGCGATTCAAAAAGCGGCATTTGAACTCCCGGTCTAATGATGAAATAAAAAAAAACTGTCACTGTGACAGAAACAAAGCAGACAGCAGTATGATGCAAATCCCACAAAGAGTCTCAGTCACACTGGGGCTGGGGCCAACACTCTATGCCCATGGGCACTGTGACACCGTCAAATCCTTGCGAAACGAGAGGTTTTCTCTCAATGCGTTTGGCACAAGGTGAAACGGGACAAAACGGAGACGAAACGGTCACTTTGACATAGGTTAGGTTCGCCAGGCATCATTTCTAGCAGTCCACTATTTCACGAATATTTCCTGCCACGTTGGGGGACAGTCAACAAACAAAAGATTGAAAAAATTGACATGCGGATATGGGCAGGTTCAGAAAAACTTTGACTCGACCACGAAGATAAAATCAAACACAATGTCACACCGACAGTAGGGGATAACCTCTCACTCACCTTACTGTGATGTCCGCGGGATCTCCACAAAATTTTCTACGCGACTGCTAAACAACCATAAAATAAAAGAGCGCGTCTCCACGGTAAAAACATTGTCGAATACAAATCTTGAGAGCACTAAAATTCATCTACGTGAGATAATCCATCGCAGCAGACGACAGAAACTTTTCGCGTTGTCTTCTTTCTTTTCTTCGCCACCTTGCAAAGTCGTGTACAAATGAAAATCGCGTCGGGGTCGGGTTTCCGGTCGGCATGAGAAATTCCGAGGCCGTGTACTTCCCTCTCTGCGCTTGCCTTCCGGTCTTTCCTTTTCCGCCAAGAGAGCGCTAGAGAGCCTGTATTTCAAAAAGTTCAATTGTGGTTCGATTCGATTTTACTTGGATTTGTACATCTACCGGTAATTGTTTGTTTCATAGAGTTTAGAGTGTGGTGTAAGTGACACGGTCAGGCTGTGGGCTTGGATTGCCTTAGCCTTTTCCAGGGGAGTGCAATGTAAACCAAACTTGAATTGTGGAATAAGCTTTATTATAAGTTGTATTTTACACAACACATCAGTTATCATTCTGCAAGGTGGGCCACCTCGGTAAGCTCCACTTCACCCAAACGCAAAGAGTGAGACTATAGCTAAACAGTAGACATAAAAGCTATCATTCACTAGTATTGGGTGCGAAAAGATGCAATTAATGAAAGTAGATAAGGTACAAAAATTCTCAAAATTGAATCATAACAACATAGTTTGAGTTCAAGGACTGAAATTTTGACAAACGAACAGATCAGAATTAACTAACTCAACTCTGGAACATAACAGAAATATTATTTTTCCTAGACAAAAACAAAGTTTTGTCATTGACAAAGCATTTCAATACATTATATTACAAAAAAATAAATTATTCATCTGAGATTAACATTGCGCTTTCATTTTCTAATGCAGATCTATCTCAATGCTATCTTAACCTTCAGGAGTTCTTAGCTTCATAATTTCTTCTATACAAATGGAAGACTCTTTTGACCTTATACAGATCCAACAATATCCACTCTCAGGCTCCTTGCATTCAGATCACGGAGAGGATGCTCCGCCTCTCCAGGCAAACCCAGATCCAGATACATGGTGCAACTCTGTCAAAATTGGCATCAATATTGATGCCTACCATTTCAAAATTGTTTTTCTGAAATCTGCCATTGATATCAATGCTTAAGCATGCCATACACACAATCAGACACCATTTTGGATTTAAACAAATAAGAGGGAAGAGATGGAAGACATTTTGACAAACATAGAATCCTATTTTAAAATTAAATAAAGAGGAGACAGGGGGTGGACTAGGTCCAGAATTGGGAACAGATCAAATCAGGTAGCATCCAAAATGGGGTCAGCACAATTTACAGCAGCTTGTAAAAAAAAGTCCCAATCTTCTATGTTTAACGTTACCAACTGGATATGCAATGTAAAAACAAAATTTTCCTCCGAACAATTTGCAACCAACAAGGTTTTGGGTGCAAGACAGTAATTTACAGACAAGTACGTAGAGTATAACGAAGAAACTAATTGTCTTGTAGTTGAGGGAAATGCTGGGATGTATCATAAATTTTTGCATTGCATGCAAGTGCAAGTTTTCTCTTCCTCTGTTTTCAGGACCATGTTCTCTCTGGAGAAAAAAGTAGAGACAAGGGCTGCAAAAATACTTTCCGTGCAATTCAATCAAGATACCTCTCCATTTTAGAAATCTTAAGACAATTAAATACCGACCAAGTCAGCTTAAACCACTTATCTCTAAAAAAAATCAATCAAAAAAAAAAAAAATCAAAACATTGAACTCTTAGTAAAATCTTGACATAGCTAGCAGACTTACTTGAAATTTTACAAGAGCTTAGCCACAGAGACAAGTACACAGAAAATAGGCCCAACAAATGGACCACAAACTGAAGGAAAGGAACTGGGACTGTTAGTCAACAACACTCACAGAGTGTCTACATAAATGCTGTATGATATGCAGAATGCATCGTTTCTTTTTCTGCTTATTGTTTCAATCACTTCATAAATACGAAATTGTAACAAAACTTAATTATACAACATCATTTTGTAACCTTATGATAACAGGCTCTGGAAACTCAGTGCTACATCACACGATACTCACCAACATTCACTCAATATGTACAAACTCACCAATCATTCCAAATAATTATATTTGCACAAGTAATATGTATAATCTGTCTTATATTTGTAAGTTGGATATTTTGGATTTACTTAGATTTGTAGAAATTAAATATAGTTATTGAAAAACTTACTCTGGTCAATCAATTTTAATCCTTTTTGTGCAACATGCTCAAATAATAACGTGACCCAATATATAAAGGAGAATCTTTTTCGTTTTTTTGACAAATATGCTTTTAATGACCCTCCCTTACTGAATTACTGAGTCACAGCATTTATCGATAGGGCCTACATTGGAATTTGTTATTTATTTCGAAAATAAATGTACAATATCATCTGTGCCATGTTTGTACTACTTTAGATTGATTATTACCATATGGATAGTGTTTGCCAAAGGGGCACACTGATGAGGGTTCAGTAGTTATAACGCAATGTAGTGTGTACATTGTAGCTTAAGTCAATATTAAAATTTAATCTTAATAGTACAGCATAATCAGCACCAGGCAAACAAGTAGTGTACTTCATGTTTTGCATTTTTGTACCCCCACACAGCCTTAACAATAAAATGCATAACATAGGACGAGAGTTTGTGTGATGTACTTACATTCAACCAATGCTTTTTTTTTTGAAAGCTAATTTTTTAAAAGTATCTTGTTCAATCACATATAGTATTGGAGAAGCCTAGTCAGGGTTGTCTAGGTCTGACATGGTTTCCCAATTGTGGACCATTCCGACAATGGTTTCAGTTTTTACTGTAAGGATAAAAACTGAGAAAATTGCTCATACACATCACCCTGACTAGCGAGTGATTATTGTCACATGTCCAATCTGATATGTGTTATGTTTATACAATGTGAAATCCAATTATTTCCCAATTTTCATTAAATTATAATGAACCATAAAGTACAAAAGAACAACAAAAAAAGGAAAAAAATTACACTTTGAAGGCAACCAGTAGGCTTTTGAAGCAAACCAGTTGTGGTACCACTCAGCGCCTTGTTTATAATTTTAAAACAACAACACGATTAAAATGTGTTATAACTATACACCAACTACAAGGACGGGAAAAATAAAATCCCTAACAGCATAAAATTTTCTATCGGAGTGAAACATTTTCATAAATAAACCAATCATTTTAAAACATTATTGTCTCAAGAAGATACGTTTTATGTTACATAAAGGCTATAGGAAGTTTTGGTCGCATGAAAATGTTTTCTACGAAGCATTGTGTGAGATATGACATGTAAGTAATGTAACTCTTAACTCTTCATATAACGTCCCTAATAATTTAACCAAAGTAACATCTAAATTATAACAATTAACATCTTGGATGTATGAACTTTATATACTACTGGTATAATTGTAATATTTATAACAGTCATAGAATACTATTCAGTCACAAATAGACAAAACAAGATTGAAGCCATAGGTTTCTGAACTGACTGCTCAAGATAAATCTTGACATGTAATGAGATATGTGTAGGTGTGCACAGTATACAAGCTTGATACGAGTAACCACTATATGGAAACATTTGCTGGCCGGATCGGATATGTCAACAGATTTTTAAAATTTGATGAAGAATAGTTTTTTTTGACATGAAATTCGATATGCCTCATTCATAACCTTCTTAACGTCTAAATGTGATTATGAATAGTGGTTCTCTTAACCCATACTTTCACAGGTGCCTTTAATACACCAAAACAATTGAATTAGAAATATTGTCGAGAGATCACCAAATAGATGTGAATGCCCAATTGGCACAAACATTCACAACTTACACAGGCAAAGAAATGCCGGCCCAGAAACAAGTCCTGGGGGAGTCAGATTGGGTGAGGGGTTGCTGCACTGACTGCACTGCAACAAATCTGATGATGTTAGAGCAGCCCTTCTGGTTGGCGCTTCCTCCCTCCAGCCTCCACAGCAGAGCCCGGCACTTCATTGACTGGCTGGGGAGAGTGGGAGTGGGAGCAGGGCCGCTCCATCCGCCCCCCGCTCCGACACTCGCCCGGTAACAACAACGAATAACAACAGTCTGGCGGGGGAAGGACCAGCGGCGACGTCACGTGTCACAGTGTCACAGCCCGGTCCATCATGAGGCCAGCCAGGCCAGCCCGACGTGCCGCAGCGTGGCCAGCACCAGGAACGTCCAGGACGCCACGGTGGACAGGGACTGCTTGGTGGCGGACCCGCACGCGTGGATCTCCACCTCCTGCAACAAAAGCAGAGTCCAGCGTCAATACCCCTCGGCGCGGGGCGGGGCGGGGCGGCCTCTGGCGGCCGGGGTAGCGACGGCGCGGCACGGCACGCTCACCTCCGGGTGGTAGGAGATGCACTTGGGCGGGCGGCGGCGCGCCAGGTTGTCGCGCGGGTTGCGGCCCTTGCAGGTGGAGGAGGCGCCCTCGTACACCACCTCCTGGGGCTGGATGGCCAGCTTCTTGTTGCCGCACGGGCACAGCGTGTCCACCACGAGCAGGATGAGGTTGCTGTGCGGGATCTTCTGCACGCTGAACGGCCTGGCGGAGGAGGGGGGGAGTGAGTGAGACTGGTAGAGGCGAGTGCACTGGACAGAGTGAGCCGAAAAGCCTACCTCTCGCAGCCCGTGGCGTGGCAGTTGGTGAGCTTGCCCTTGAGGGGGTTGGCCGTGCCGCTGGCGTTGAGTCTGTCGGGCTGCAGCACGTACAGGTCGACGCGCTTGTCGCAGGGCCGCTGCCGCGACGTGTTGACGGCGGCCGTGGGCTGCGGCGGCGCGGCGGGGGCGTCCTCGGCGGGCGGCAGCACGTCGGGCTCGTCGGCGCGCACCAGCATCTCGTCGTCGCTCGTGGACACCATCGGCGGCGGCACCGGCACCGGCAGGTCGGAGGACTGCTCCTTCTTGCGGTACAGCGTCCAGCCGCCCTCGCTCTGCGGAGGGCCAAGCACACCGTGACCGACCGTGACCAGGCTGCCGAGCCGGCGCAGCACAGTGGATTCGCCAGACGACCGGCGGAGGCGGCCAAAAACCCGGACGCGTTTTGAGCTCCAGAGTCGCTAAATGGCACTCGAACCGAACGTGTGACCCCACCAATGGATTCCTCGTTCGGAGAGCAATCCATTGGTGGGGTCACACGCTCGGTTCGAGTGCCATTTAGCGACTCTGCAGCTCAAACCGCGTCTAGACTTTTGTCCGCCTCCACCTGTCTTCTGGCCCACTGCGCGCTACCGCCAGCACCACCCCGCTGTCCTACCTGCTCCAGGTCGACGGCGGGCTGCTGGCCGCGGTGCTGCGTGCCGTGGGTGCCGTGCGAGCCGTGCGTGCCGTGCGGGGGCACCACGCCGTTGATGTGGTTGGCGTGGCCGGCGCGCGCGCCCTCGCCCGCGTGCATGGGCACCTCGTCCAGGGTGTTGGACACCTCGTCCTCGCCCTGCGACCCGTCGCGCGGCCCCGACGCCCCCATCCGCCCCATGTCCTCCGAGTCTTCCTCCTCCTCCTCGTCCTCCTCCTCGCCGACGTCGTCCTCGTCCTGCGCGTCGTCCACGTCGGCGTCCGAGTCGTAGTCGTCGGCAAAGCTCGGGTCTGCAACGGCATCAAGCGGTTACACACTGCAAGTCGCTCCCCCGCGCTGCTGGCCTTGGCGGAGCGCCCGGCGGAGCCAGGGTAGGCCAGCCCGCCGCACACGCCTGCCCTCCTGGCGGCCCACCCGCCGTCCCGCGGGCGCTCACCGCGCTCGCCGGTACCAGTACTTACAGTCCCGCAGCATGCGCGCAGTGGCGGCCCAGGTGTCGCTGAGCAGTGCGCCGATCTGGAGGTCCAAGGCCGCGGCAGCCACGTAGGCGAGCACGCCCTCGGTGAGCGAGCGGAAGAGCGAGGCGACGGTCTGCAACGGAACCACAAACCGTCAAAGGAAGCGCAGAGGGGCTTTGTAGTCGCCGGGGTTTCGAGCATGCCCCTTGGCTCACCGGGGCGCGGGGGCTGCCGGGCGCCGCACTGTAGGGCGAGTCCTGGTCGGAGCACGCGCCCTGGTAGTCGTACACGGCGACGCGCTTGAAGATGCGGTCCTGCACCAACGAGTCCATGATGGTGCCGTCCACCTGGCCGAAGAAGGCGCCGGCCTGCTCGGCCACCTCGGACAGGATGATGAAGCCGTTGTTGTCCAGCACGTAGCAGTCCAGCTCGTCCGACTTGCACGTCTTGCTGCACTTGGAGGTACACTGCGAACAGGGAACGGGGATTGGGGTTCTCCAACGAGTTACCAACAGCCCAGGCTCTTTAAAGTGAACCAGAAGGCCGGCGCCGGCAGCCAAAACTCTTGACGCATTTCGAGCTCCAGAGTCGCTAAATGGGCCTCGAACCGAGCGTGTGACCCCACCAATGGATTCCTGGTCCACTGGCTTCCAGCGGCCTGCTCACCGTGGACGTGATGTTGAGGAAGTGCGCCGACAGGATGGACTGGAGGTACTGCACGCCGACGACGGCGGCGGGCGCGCGGTGGCCCTTGTGCTCCACGAACACGGCGTGGGTGGCGGTGACGAGGGGCTTGCCGCCGCGCTGCCCGGCGTCGAAGGGCACGGAGTACACGAAGGACTCGGGCTCAACGCGGTGCTGGTCCACGGCGCGCTTGTACCAGGTCTCGTCGATGGAGCGGCGGTGCGCCTCGCTGAACACGCTGCGGGCAAAGAAGGGCGTGAGCCTGGAGGACTGCGGGGCCCTGGCTTGGTGGGCCAGAAGACCGGTGGAGGTGGTCAAAACCCCGGACGCGTTTTGAGCTCCAGAGTAGCTGAATGGGACTCGAACCGAACGGGTCGTTTCGAGTCCCATTTGGCGACTCTGGAGCTCAAAACGCGTCCGGGATTTTGGCCACCTCCACCGGTCTTCTGGCAAATCCACTTGGCGGAGCTCCGCCATGGGAGGCACTCACGGGTTCTTCTCGGAGTGGTGGCCGTCGCCGAGCTTCTGCCAGCGCAGCAGCCCGCTGCGCGTCGCCACGAACGACATGGTGGCGCCGAAGAACTGGTAGCCCTCGCTGCAACATCAAGGTGGCCGTCAGCGAACACCGCGCGGCCGGCCCGCCGCCGCGCCCCCCGCCGAAGAGGGTCCTCTGCGTGCCAGAGGCATCCAGAGGGACCCGTACGGCAGCGGGGGCGGGCTGCAGGGCAGCGGTCCACTGGCCGTGGAACAGTAACAATTCACAAGCTCCGATTTCAACAAGGGGAAGAACTTGGTTAGAACAGAGGCGAGCAACAGCCACTGTAAGTCAGGTTCCCGAGACTAAAAGTGGACCAAAGTTGTGGCTGTTACTGCACAAAGCTGCTGATTCCTTACATCAGTGTGGTAAAAAACAAGAAGCAAAGAACACCCATAAGGTAATCCTTATAAAACGCACGTCATCGGTGTGGACAAAAAAAAACCACCGTTCGGATGAGAAGTAATTTTGAACGGAATCAGCAGCTTTGCCAACAACGATCAGCGAGTTCCTCAGGCGGCATGGGAGAGAGACGTTGCATTACTCGGTTATACTCACCGGCATCCTCGACGCAGTGAAAACAAAAATAAAAACAAAAACAAGTGCGGCGGAGTCAAACGCGGCAACAGTGGCCAAGTTGGTTTCTTTGCAAAAATGCATATGGAAGTGAATGACCAATGTAAATACAAGAGGGCAACTTAGTCTCATCTTCAGGAATTTTTTGTTTGCTTGGTTCTTTTTTTTTCATCTTTTGTCATCGAGGACATTACGGAATGTAGGAGATGAATGGGGGACCAAATTCTTGCCCAGGAAGAGTTTCCAGGTCGTAAAGCCAACGTTTGACTCCGTTCACAGAAGACACAAAAACACACAGGCACGAACACTAACGGCACACCACACAAAATCTCAACCAAAATGCGTCTCGTGGTAAATTGAGACTCGTACTTTCTCTTTCCCGTTTTCAAACAAATTTTTTCTACGATGAATTTAATGTATCCAAGCAAAGTGAATGGCAATGGCAACGGATGTGCGAAGGTTTCAACTTCCTTGCTGGTAGTGATACAGGTAATCCAAAATTCCAACTTCACTTTTCTGAACAGTCTAAAGCAAAGGGGCTACATGTAGGTGGTATAGGGGTATAATGATGACGCTTTTCAAAACTTATATTAAATGTTTCATTTTTTTAAAAGTGAAAGTCTGCTAAAACATCGTTGTCTAGTTGAAACAGGGCTAGCTGGGCTACCCTAAGGAAAGCACCCGAAAAGACCTATACGTTACCTTCGCCATAGAGCCATCAGAACGGCTATAGGGCTAATTGCGAAAGGACGAATAGAGTGAGAAATTAGTGATAGAAGGGAAAGTGTTTAATTCAAAGTGAAGAAAAGAAAGAAATTAGTGAGTCGTCCTCCAGTGCGGCTGCAGTGCAAAGAGCATTCACAAACAGAAAACGAACATCCAGGAAAGCAGAGTGCAAAAGTTAGTGCATATATACAATATATCTCGTTCTCTCAGCGAACTTTTTTTCTCACGTTTGGCAGTTTTTTTACGTCAAGTAATAACTCAAAAAGTGAATCTGACCGCGGTACAAACGCGACGAAGAGTGAGTGCCGCATGCGGTGCAGGTGGACAAGCTAGTGGTGTGTCGCCCCTTATTCAAAGTCGGCGGCTTTTCATCGAGATTGAAATATCGATTCTAAAGGGCAAAACCGCCCCGCGCGCGGACGACCGGCGTCTCATGAGAGCGGCCCCCTCCCCCTCCCCTTTTCACAGTGACGTGGACCGCGAGGACCCCCCACCGCACTTACTGCCGGTCCTCGTTGGCGTTGGAGGGGCGGTCCAGGCGAGGGGGCTGGTCGAGGGTCTGGGTCACCACCGCGTCGTAGACCAGCGACTGCACCAGGGTCTTGTCGCCTGGAAGAACAGAAAAACTCGTTAATAACGCAAATCAGTTTTCAAAAACAAACAAACAAACAAAAATCACTTACAGTAGTACGAGTCGCGGTCCAGCTTCTTCATGTCCTTGACGGCCTGCGGGGTCCAGTGGCGCTGCGACATCCACTTCCAGCCGGGCTTGCGCACCTTGTTCAGGAAGTGGAGGAACTGGTCCTCGGGCGACTTGAAGTGGTGGTCGGACGCGTAGTTGTACTCGCAGTACACCCTGCGACACCGAGAGGTGAGGTTAGGTCAGGTTAGATGAGGTTGGGTGAGGTTAGGTCAGGTTAGGTCAGGTTAAGTGAGGTTAAGTGAGGTTATGAGAGGTTGTGAGAGGTTATGAGAGGTTAGGTGAGGTTTGAGCGACGAATCTTCGAGGCTGCCGTCTCACTTCTGGGGGAAAATGAAACTCACCAGTCCGGGTGCACTCTCCAGTTGTCTCCCTTGAAGCATTCGGTGACTGCAAAAAATAACAAAACATGTTGCTAACGTTGCCATTTTGCGAGGCGATGCTACAGGAGAGTGCTGTACTCACGGTTCACGGGGCTCCGCTTGATCTCCTCCTCGCCGATGGCCTCGTACATGCCGTAGCCTTCGGGCAGGGCCAGCGCCAGCGAGAACGGCGTGCCGTAGATGGGGTTGTAGAAGTACTTGTTGCGGCGGGTGGCGACGCGCTGTCAAACAAGACAGATTGTTTAAAATAATTCTTTAAAAAAAAGTCGGTTGCAGAGCGCGACATGCAGTGCAGCGCTCACCATGCCGTTGAAGTCCGTCTTGATGGTGAGGTCCGTCTCGCCCTCCTTCTGGTCGATCATGTCGTGGCGCAGCTAACGAAAACAACAACAAATTGTAAACCAACGGCAAAAAGTTTTTGTTTTTGTTTCTGAGTAGTAGGCGCACTCACATCGAGGAGCATGGAGTTGTTCTCCCGCGGCCCGCCGTCGCTGTCCACCAGCTCGACCTCCGTCAGGTCGACGCTGTTGTACTCCGGTTTGAGGGTGTCCTGGAACTGTGCGAGGGAGACGTCAGCACACGGAGCGCGTTCCGCGGACGCGTTAGGGCATTAGAGGGAAAAAGTTGAGAAAATATCGCGTATCGGCAAAGTGCGGATGGAAGACACGGACGGAAAAGGGCACCGGCAATACTGGTTTGGTACCCTTTCCGGCACGCTACGTAAATGTGAAGAGGAGACAAAAGCATGCAATGGACAAATCGAACTCGCGTAACTACTTTCAAGAGGTAAAGTAATTAAATTCTGCGAGCGGTGATGCTTAGTATATGAACACGTCGCGATCATGCAGCATTGAGATCATGCGGGTTGAGTGAGATCAGGCAAAAATGACGAAAATGTCCGATCGAAACCCCAGATTCTTTCGATGAACGGTATCAAACCACTTATTTCAAAAGCGACTACTTCGGCCCTAACTGCACGCTAAATGTCTTATGTACTTTATTGTCCATAGCTATGGCCGTTTTTGTACATACAGAACTTATGTACAAATTTGTACATAAATTAGGAACAATATTTCCATATTGTGCTTAAGTATGTAAAACATTGTACCTAATTTATGTACAAATTTGTACGTAAGTTCTGTATGTACAAAAACGGCCATAGTTATGGACATAAAGTCCGATAAAGTCCATAAGCATTTGGTGTGTGGCAGTTGTTACAAGCAGCAGTGTCGTTCTTTTCGCCTGTACGTCCAACAAAATGTTACTTCCGAAAAGGAGGAGAGTATTTACCTGTTGCGAGTTTTGCTGAAAGAGATAATTTTCAGTGCATTAGTGAGTGGTTCCAAAAGCATGTCGCAAGGCAGGGATGGACAGTGGGTTGAGAGAGTGCCATTTCAAAAACCATCAATCAAGGGATGTGCCGAACAAGAAATCACAAAAAAAAGATCCCGAAAAGAAAAGAAAAAAAAGTGCACAGGGGATTTTTCTAATCTTCTAAATGCTGTGCGTTCCCATTTTGCAGTCTAAGAGTGAGAAGAGATTTGCACGAAGTTGAGTTGAGGTGACTAGAGCTATTGCAAGTCGGTTGCTTTTTCCGTCAAGTCGTGGGTCTCCGCGAGGCAGTGGAGTGACACTACGGAGAGGGACAGTTGATCATGCACACTAGCGTGGCGCATCTACCCGGACTCGCGTCGGCCTAGGCGGCCTAGGGTCGCGCGACGCGCGTGACGGTCGAATGGGGCAGCCTAGTGCGTCTAGACAGGGGCAACGGGTTTTGGCGGGAACGCGCGGTACTCACCATGGGCCGCAGGTCCGGGTGGAAAAGGACGTGTCCGTTGTTGTCCACCAGGAAGCCGTAGCCGTTGACGCCGAGCTGCGGGGGAAGAGAGGGTTAGACGGAAACTTGGGAATGAGTGGCTGCCAATTACACAGAGCCGACCGACTTGGAGAGAACAAAAACCGGATGTGTGCCAAACGCCGGGATAAGGAAAGTTTCGAGTTCCAGCACTGAGAACCAATGCAGCGGACTCGGTATAGCATTAGCGGGAAAAGAGAGAGAGAGAGAGAGAGAGAGAAAGGCGGGAAATATTTCTCTGCTTACCTTATACGGCGGGACCAACTTCATGATCTGCTCGATAGGGATATCCGTCCCAACGACTCCCAGCAAGTTCGCCACGCGTTCCTGGAACGCCAACAAAAACATTTTATAATTGACGAAAATAAAAACTTTTCAATTCAACTGATGGATGGAGCTCGCCTACCGTGGCGTTCCGTCGGTCGAACACAGGGGCGCTGACCGACGTCATGAGCTGTCCGTACTTGACTTCGTCGCGCAGAAGGCTGTTACCCTGCACAAAAACAACAACAAAACTTCCCAGTCAAATCCTCAACTCGCAAAGTCGTCCTGTCGCCGTCGCCTTGCCCCTCTCTTCTTCTTCTTTTTTTTTTCAAGCAGCCGAGGACGGACCGTCGTCAACACATGGCTGCCAACTACGAGCAAACAAACCGCACACGGTCGCCAACCGACAAACAAGAAACAAACTCTTCTTCAACACTGTCTTATTAATACTGGGTGGGAAACTCGTTTCTTTTCTTGGTGAATGCAGGCGGCTTGCCGTGGCAGAAGGGGGCCCTCCCTTCCCAGAAAAAGACTTTGCCGGACATCCCTATGCCGGAGCAGCCAACCTTCAACCCGCGCCAGATCGGTGGCCTACCCGTCCCCACACCCCGAGAGCAAATCACATATTTTAAAAAAAGTGTATTGATGTCTGCTCACCTTGCCGCCGCGGTAGACGGGCGTCCACTGCACGGGGTGCTCGTTCTGGTACATGACGAGTGGCCGCGACATCACGGACACGTACTTGAGCACCTGGGCGCGGACGTCCTTGCGGTTGCTCATGCGGTTGAAGTACCCTGGAAGCGAGCAGGGTGGTGAGTCGGACGTCGGCAACGGCAACGACCCCGCGGAGGCGGTCAAAATCCCGCACGCGTTTTGAGCTACAGAGTCGCTAAATGGGACTCGAACCGAACGAGTGACGCCACCAATGGATTGCTCTCCCAACGAGGAATCCAGTGGTGGGGTCACACGTTCGGTTCGAGTCCTGTTTAGCGACTCTGGAGCTCAAAACGCGTCTAGAGTTATGTCCGCCTCCGCCGGTCTTCTGGCCCACTGTGCCAAAGCCGCTTCGCTACTCACCCTTGTTGCCGCAGGCGATCTTGTTGAGCTCCGACGCCGTGCTCGAGTCCTTGCCGATGAGGTACGTGAACATCCTCACCGGCATGTGCGGCCAGTTGTAGTGCTTGAGGACGTTGCTGTAGGAGGCCAGCACGGGCCCGGCGGTGATGAGCATGATGGCCTGGTTGCACTGGCTGCCCTGCCCCGTGCGGTTGTACTGCAGAGCGAAAGGGACATATAGTGAGTAGGTCCGCAACGGAGTGGACCTGCACTCGGTAATGGCCACTCACCCGGTGCAGCAGGTCGAAGGCGGTGACCAGCGCGGCGGTCGTGTTGGCGGACCCCTCCGGACGCACGCCGCCAAGCCCGGCCTTCAGCTCGCGGAGGTTGGCCGTGGTGGCCTGCAAGCACACACCGCGATTTAGTCAACGTGCTGGACACGCCTAGGGGGCACCCTAGAAACGCCCTGTGGACACCCACCTGCACCAGCATGTCCTTGAAGCACGGCACGATCTCGGCGGCCGTGTCCGCGAAGCGAAACACGTTGACGAAGTCGTTGTCGCCCAGCGTCTCCAGGATGGTGCGCGCCGTGAGCAGCGCCAGGGCGCGCTTGGTGGAGCTGACGGAGGACGACGAGTCCAGCAGGATGACGACGTCCTTGGGGCTGGTGGCGGCCGACACGTACCACTGCGACGTGCGGAAGTCGTGGATCTCGGCGCGCGCGTCGCCGAAGAACTCGTCGGCCGGCACGCGCGAGGCTGGAGGCAAAGCAGGGCGTCAGGAACATTCTCAGAACGAGTTCAAATCACTTCTCGTCGCTGTTTCCTCCAGTTGCAGCTCACCTGGGTAGCGGCGCAGGAAGCCGCTGGCGCTGCCGAAGTACTGCCAGGACAGCGTGGGGTCCGTCTCGTAGTTGTTGATGAAGAGCGCGTCCAGCAGCTCGGACCACACGATGCCGTTCGTGACGGTCGGGTCTGCGGGCAAGAACACAAACGGATTGCAGTGGGCCGGTCAAAGACGCGTTTTGAGCTCCAGAGTCGCTAAATGGGACTCGAACCGAACGTGTGACCCCACCAATGGATTGCTCTTCGAACGAGGAATCCATTGGTGGGGTCACACGTTCGGTCAGGAGTTTTGGCCGCCTGCGCCGGTCGTCTGGCGCACTGCGCGGCTGGGCTTCCTTCCCCTTATTTCTCAACTTGCAGTGCTTTGCAGTGATACGTACCGCGCTCGGTGACGTCCTCGGCCAGCATGGTGTTGCTGCGGTTGGTGTTGACGGGCAGGTGGTCGAAGTGCCGCGAGGACCGCATGCCGTCGCGGCGGCCCTGCGCGCCGGCCTCTGGCGACCACACCGTGGCCTTGCCGTTCTTGTGCTCCATCTTGTGCGACAGCGCCGCCTGCTCGGCCGAGTCCATGATCCTCTGCGAGAGCATGGCGAGAGGGACAAAATGAATCATCGATTGGGGGAAGGGGAGGGGCTTCGCTTCCTCTTAGCATTTCCAGGGAATAATTCCAGTCGTCATTGCTCAGCGATTCCACTTGAGGCCGGGGGAGTCGGGGAGGAGGCCAAGGGTGGACCGGCTCGGCCCGTCCCGGCCCGGCTCGGCAGTTGCTCCCCCAGACATGACGATGGTCATGATGATAGTGGCCATGCCGCTCCGCCTGAAATTGTTTCTACATGCGGACCGCCCCAGTGCTGCCTCCCATACGGACTGAGCCGAGCCGGACCACCGCCCCACAGTGGGCCAGAAGACCGGTGGAGGCGGACAAAATCACGGACGCGTTTTGAGCTCCAGAGTCGCTAAACAGGACTCGAACCGAACGTGTGACCCCACCAATGCATTACTCTCCGAACGAGGAATACATTGGTTGGGTCACACGTTCGGTTCGAGTCCTAGCGACACTGGAGCTCAAAACGCGTCCGTGATTTTGTCCGCCTCCACCGGTCTTCTGGCCCACTGTGGGGCGCGAAACAGTGTCCGTGTGTTTGTGTTTGTCTGTGTGCGAGGCCAGATGCTCCGAGCAGCGCGCCCTGCTGGCGGCACGGCGGCGCGGCGGCACGGCACTGCAAACCTGAACCACTGCAAACGCTTGGCGCGCAGCACTTGTCGAGGCGACACGCACAATATTCCGGGCAGGTGCCGCCAGCCGCCAGCCTGGCCCGGCCTGGCCCAGCCTGGCCACCCTCGGCCCCACAGCCCCACAGTGCAGCCTGCAGAGCCTACACTGCCGAACCAGCAGAGGCGGGCCTAGCTCAAAAAGGGGAGGGCTTTGGAAAATTCTCTGCGAGTTTGCCTACATCCTGTGTCGCGCTGTTTTCCTCGTGCCTAACGCCACACGAGTGCGAGAGAGAGAGAGATGTGCGGTGTAAACCGGAAGCTGCAAATTTTTTCGTCCTTCCACTCACACAGACACACGCACACACCGACTTCGAGACGCGATTTCAAACGCGCGCTCGCCGAGTGCTGTGCATAGTGAGCTGCAGAAAACAGAGCAATATTGCAGCGGTCTGTGAGAGGGGGGGAGGGGGAGGGGGATGGGAGTGGAGGGGGTACACTGACAGGCGCTCATTCCGCGTGAGGTAGAGGGTGGAGCACCCAATGGCTTGGCTCGGCTCCGTGACTCGCAATACTTTGCAAGCAGTATGCACCACACATCTGCACGGACGGACAGATGGACGGACGGACGGACAGACAGACAGACAGACAGACATGCATACATACATACATACATACAGACAGACAGACAGACAGACAGACAGACAGACAGACAGACAGACAGACAGACGGTGTCAGACAGACAGACAGACAGACAGATAGACAGACAGACAGACTGGCCGCCGAGCCGGAAACAGGTGTCTATATTGAGCCGATACGTTCCGGGCCAACTCCGGCGTGACAGTGTCGACGAAAGAGGCACAGAGAAAGAGAGAGAAAAAGAGGAAAAACTGAGAGAGGGAAATACTAATAAAAAGAGAGACTCGCGGAAAATGGGACCGTGGCGCGAGGGCCGCGAGGGTGCTACCACGGTGCCACTGCGCCGCTGCCATGCCATGCGCTGCGCTGCGGTCGGAGAGGGACGAAAGAGTCGATCTCCATATTCCTCAGATACTGCACCGGGCCACAGGGCCACAGGGCCACTGTGCCGCGCCGCCACCACGCCGCGGAGCCGCGGACTGGAGTGGCAAGTTTTAATGGGCCCACCGGCCCCGGGCGAAGCGGGGCAAGCGGAGCGAAGGCCCTCTGGTGAAGTGGCGGGGAACAAGAGGAAACTACTTTGAATTTTGGTGTACATGGCCGTGAATTTCATGAATTTTTTGAAATTTTTGCATTTTTGTTGAATTTTTATGAATTTTGACAAATTTTAATGAATTTTTGTGAATTTTCAAGATTTCTTTTTGAATTTTGATGAAATTTTTGAACTTGGCTGCAGTTTTTGAATTTCATGAATTTAGATGAATTTTTATGAATTTCTCTGTTTTCTAATGGAATTTTGATGAATTTCAATGAATTTTTGGGCCTTTGATCGCCCAGGCCATCTAGGACAGTGGTTCTCAACCTTAGGGTCGCGACACCAAGCGGGGTCGCGAAATTTTTTTAAGGGGTCGCGGCGATGCTGGGGTCGTGTTTTAGGCCGATTTTAAGCAGCCACTGCGTCTGATCCGAGGCGGGCATTTTGCTCCCTCGACGGGCAATTGGTCTTTGGACCTTCCTTTAGCATGCCTTTGTTACGGAGTGCAATTATCAGTCTTAGTTTGGAAGCAGTATTGTCTCAAAGTTGGCCAAAACGCTCAGAAATGTCTATGAAAAATCGTGTTTTGGGCCGATTTTAAGCAGCCACTGCGTCTGATCCGAGGCGGGCATTTTGTTCCCTCGACGGGCAATTGGTCTTTGGACCTTCCTTTAGCATGCCTTTGTTACGGAGTGCAATTATCAGTCTTAGTTTGGGAGCAGTATATTCTCAAAGTTGGCCAAAACGCTCAGAAATGTCTATGAAAAATCGTGTTTTGGGCCGATTTTAAGCAGCCACTGCGTCTGATCCGAGGCGGGCATTTTGCTCCCTCGACGGGCAATTGGTCTTTGGACCTTCCTTTAGCATGCCTTTGTTACGGAGTGCGATTGTCAGTCTTGGTTTGGGAGCAGTATTGTCTCAAAGTCGATCAAAACGGTCGCAAGTGTCTTTGAAAAATCGTTGTGACTATTTTGGTCAACTTTGAGACAATACTGCTCCCAAACTAAGACTGATAATCGCACTCCGTAACAAAGGCATGCTAAAGGAAGGTCCAAAGACCAACTGCCCGTTGAGGGAGCAAAATGCCCGCCTCGGATCAAACGCAGTGGCTGCTTAAAATCGGCCCAAAACACGATTTTTCATAGACATTTCTGAGCGTTTCGGCCAACTTTGAGACAATACTGCTCCCAAACTAAGACTGATAATTGCACTCCGTAACAAAGGCATGCTAAAGGAAGGTCCAAAGACCAACTGCCCGTTGAGGGAGCAAAATACCCGCCTCGGATCAGACGCAGTGGCTGCTTAAAATCGGCCCAAAACACGATTTTTCAAAGACACTGTTGACCGTTTCGGTCATCTTTGAGACAATACTGCTCCCAAACTAAGACTGATAATCGCACTCCGTAACAAAGGCATGCTAAAGGAAGGTCCAAAGACCAACTGCCCGTTGAGGGAGCAAAATGCCCGCCTCGGATCAAACGCAGTGGCTGCTTAAAATCGGCCCAAAACACGATTTTTCATAGACATTTCTGAGCGTTTCGGCCAACTTTGAGACAATACTGCTCCCAAACTAAGACTGATAATTGCACTCCGTAACAAAGGCATGCTAAAGGAAGGTCCAAAGACCAACTGCCCGTTGAGGGAGCAAAATGCCCGCCTCGGATCAAACGCAGTGGCTGCTTAAAATCGGCCCAAAACACGATTTTTCATAGACATTTCTGAGCGTTTCGGCCAACTTTGAGACAATACTGCTCCCAAACTAAGACTGATAATTGCACTCCGTAACAAAGGCATGCTAAAGGAAGGTCCAAAGACCAACTGCCCGTTGAGGGAGCAAAATGCCCGCCTCGGATCAGACGCAGTGGCTGCTTAAAATCGGCCCAAAACACGATTTTTCAAAGACACTGTTGACCGTTTCGGCCAACTTTGAGACAATACTGCTCCCAAACTAAGACTGATAATCGCGCTCCGTAACAGAGGCATGCTAAAGGAAGGTCTAAAGACCAACTGCCCGTTGAGGGAGCAAAATGCCCGCCTTGGATCAGACGCAGTGGCTGCTTAAAATCGGCCCAAAACACGATTTTTCATAGACATTTCTGATCGTTTCGGCCAACTTTGAGACAATACTGCTCCCAAACTAAGACTGATAATTGCACTCCGTAACAAAGGCATGCTAAAGGAAGGTCCAAAGACCAACTGCCCGTTGAGGGAGCAAAATGCCCGCCTCGGATCAGACGCAGTGGCTGCTTAAAATCAGCCCAAAACACGATTTTTCAAAGACACTGTTGACCGTTTCGGCCAACTTTGAGACAATACTGCTCCCAAACTAAGACTGATAATCGCACTCCGTAACAGAGGCATGCTAAAGGAAGGTCTAAAGACCAACTGCCCGTTGAGGGAGCAAAATGCCCGCCTTGGATCAGACGCAGTGGCTGCTTAAAATCGGCCCAAAACACGATTTTTCATAGACATTTCTGAGCGTTTCGGCCAACTTTGAGACAATACTGCTCCCAAACTAAGACTGATAATTGCACTCCGTAACAAAGGCATGCTAGGAAGGTCCAAAGACCAATTGCCCGTCGAGGGAGCAAATGCAATGAATTTTATGAATTTCAGTGAATTTTTAAAAATTTTGATGAATTTCAAAGAATTTTGGTGAATTTTTTAATTTTATGAATTTCACTGAATTTTTTGAATTTTGTTGAATATTTTTTGAATTTGCATTAGGTGTACACATTTTTTCGAAGTAGTTTCCCCTTGGCGGGGAAGTGGCGTGGAAGTGGCTGGTGATGTGGTGGTGAAGTGGTGGTGTAGGTGTGGTTGGGCTGGTGAAGTAGTGTTGTAGGTGTGAGTTGGCTGGTGAAGTGGCGGGGCTGGTGAAGTGGTGGGGCTGGTGAAGTGGCGGGGCTGGTGAAGTGGCGGGGCTGGTGAAGTGGCGGGGCCGGTGAAGTGGCGGGGCTGGTGAAGTGGCATGGCTGGTGAAGTGGAGGGGCGGACTAACTATTTCATAGTGCAGTGCCGTGCTCTGCGAAAAAGGCGGGAGGGCGGCGCATGTTGGTGTGCAGTCCATGCCCGGCGAGACCGGCGAGACTGCCACACTGTGCGCTGCCGGCGCTGCCACATTATGTGCAAATTATTCTGCCCTAAACTGGACGGCGGGTACACTGCCACAATCAGCGGAAACGGGTGGACCGAGCCGAGCCGAGCCGTCAGCGTGCAACGCGGAGGGAAAAAAAAAGTTTTTCGTCGTTTGGCGAACGTCTACAAATCCCTCGATAAAAGTGGCGAAAAAAAACGAGAAGGAAAAACGGGAGTGCGGTCTTGGCGACTTATTCATCAGGGTCGGGGTGCCTTCCACAGCGCAGCCGACCCGGCACACAACAAATGCTCGCAAAAAGACGAGACTTTTTAAAAATTAAGCCTTTCGTCCGCCGTGCGGACCGGGCAGGGCCCCTGCAGAGGGAAAGGAAGGGTAGGGCCCTTAAATTATTCAAGCCCGTCTCGTTCTGACACCTTCCAGCGAGCCCTTCCAGCGAGCCCTTCCAGCCTGCCCTTTCTCCGGCCGCAACTTTTTAACGTTCTCGTCGGCTGTACAACTTTGCTGTATCCTCTGACTCACGCGCTGCGGATGGGAAAAGCGTTTTTCCGCCTGGGAGTCCCATTCGTCTGCACGAAAACGTCCGGGACTCGGAGGAAAGGAAATTCTCCGTGGTTTTCATAACCAACAAAAAAGGTGTTTTTTCTGCACCACTAGCAAATGGATTGGTAAGCATTTTAAAGTGCGCGAAGAACCTTTTTTTAGCGTAAGCGGTGACCTAGGCGGCCGGCCGAAGCCAGCCTAGGTACGGGACTGCCACCCCAGTCGGACCGGAGTTCCACGAAAAAAAAGAGAGAGGGAGGGAAGAGGCGATGTCGGAAAAACGAAGGCCCGCACAAAGCAGAGAGAAGGGAAACAAAAATTTGGTGTCCAAGTTGGGGAAATTGAGACGGGCCAATTATCACGGGAGTCTCTCTCTCTCGCACTCGTGGGGCGGCCCGCAAGGCCCGTAAGGGGGCGACAGAGACACACCGCCGGGACCCCCGCTTGGAATCAGCCTTGACAGGCCATCAGTGCCACTTGTCTGCGGGACCTTGGCAAAGTAAGTGGAGGGGGGGGGGCATTTGTTTGGGCGGACACAACTCCGGAAACGCTTCGAGCTCCAGTGTCCTCAAAGGGCGCCAAATCAAAGGACTGCCCTTTCGAACGAGGCAGCCAGAAGACCGGTGGAGGCGCCCAAAACTCTAGACGCGTTTTGAGCTCCAGAGTCGCTAAATGGGGCTCGAACCGAACGTGTGACCCCACCAATGGATTGCTCTCCGAACGAGGAATCCATTGGTGGGGTCACACGCTCGGTTCGAGTCCTGTTTAGCGACTCTGGAGCTCAAATCGCGTCTAGAGTTTTGTCCGCCTCCACCGGTCTTCTGGCCCACTGTGTGCACGCCACTCACCAGCACGGCGTGCATCTTGGCGTCCATCATGTTCTTCAGCTCCACCGTCATGTCGCGGACCAGCATCAGCCCGTCCTTGCGCGCCACCTTCACGTCCTTCTCGCGGTATTTCTGCAACACAACAACAACAACCAGAGTGTCAGACCGTGTCAAACGAGCGCACCCAAACAACAACAACCCTGGGATAAAGCAATGCACGAGATCCCTTTTTTACCAGTGTGCGTGCGTGTGCGCCGCCTTGGGGGCCGGCACCACTACGCGACCCGGCAGTGCGAACAGGACCGGCTGTAAAAAGGTAACACGAGAGAGAGAGAGAGAGAGAGAGAGAGAGAGGGGGGGGGGGTTGCAAGCAGTCCGTGTGGCGGGACCTCGAGTCAGCGTGTAAGGTGTCTCGTCTCTCTGTCTCTCTCGCACTCACGGGGCGTCACGTTGTCACGGAGAGAGAGAGGGCGGAGAATGGAGGTCACGAGTCACGTTGGCAGTGGCGCGCCGTGGTGGTCCAGCGGTCCAGTACAGTCACGCGATAAATAAATAGCGAGCACACTCGTCGATCGGGCGTCGCGGCGGCGCGTAACTCACGCCGCGGGGAGTCTCCGTCTCTCTCGCACCCGTGCGGGGCGGTGCGGGACGCGGCACGAGTGCGAGAGAGACAGACATAGCAAATGTGCGGAATCAGTCTGTGCCGCCTCGTCATTTTGGCGCGAAAATGTCCCTCCCTCGGCCAGTCTGCAGGATGTTCAGCAGACCGATTCCGAGAATCGGTGTGTCTCTCTCGCACTCGTGGGGCGAGCCGTGTGGACGCGAGCGAGACAGAGCGACGAAAACGACTCTCGGAATCAGTCTGCTGTACGCTTTAAAACTTATCTCGTTTGCCGCGGCTTCGGAAGCCTGGTTCCTCCCCTATCGCCCCCCCTCCCCCTCCCCGGCCGCCGCCGCAGCCCACACTGTGCGCGCAGTGAGTTCTGACTCGGAAGTGTGTCCTGCACCGCAAGAAGGACGAAGGAGAGGGACCGAGGCACCGGAGGACCGAAGGACCCCCTCCCAGTGCTCCTCCGGGCCGCACCCTTGGACTGGCCGACGGGGCCCGCCAGGGCTGTGCGGTTATTGGAATTCTAACCGAATAACCGGTTACCGAAATAACCGGATACTTTCCAGGTTAACCGGTTTGTCAAAATTAACCGGTTTTTAAAGAAAATCACAATAACCGGTTATTGCAATTTCACAAAATAACCGGTTAGTTTAAAAAAAAATGAAATTTTACGAAACAAATTGCGTGTAACACGATAGAATAATCGGGGCATTTAAAAAAATACAATTACCTTTGGATTATATACAGGTTTTTATTATCAAAATTAGAAATCTCCATATTAATTAAGTATATATGTGGTCTCCCGAAACAATGATGCAACTAAGCATGACGGAAAACCGGCTAACCGAAGGCCGGTTAACCGTATTTGCCGGTTATTCGGTTAACCTATACCGGAAAAGGCATTAACTTAACCGGCCGGTTAATGAAATAACCGAATGCAATAACCGGTTAACCGGTTAACCGCACAGCCCTAGGGCCCGCCCCGCCCCACAGTGTGGCGAATGGCATCGCCACCTCGCAGTGCTGCCACTCAGTAGGCAAAACTCCCCGCGATGCACCAGAGTCGGAAGGGTTAACCAACCTCAGCATAGCACAGTGGCCCACACTGCGCAGTTAAGTGCGCCGGTCATGAAAAAAAAAAACGAAAAAAAAACCGCACAGCTTTACGCGGAATCGAACCAAGGTCCGAGCTGGCAAGGGCACTGGGGGCGCAGGGGCATGGCGGCGCGAAGGGCACTTTTGGGAACTTTGTTTAATAGCCGGGGAGTGAATTTATAGCGTATTAGTCTTTCGGGGTGGCTGAGTCCGGTAAGGGAGGTGGGGGGGGGGGGGGGGGGGGGTTCTGCAACGGGCGGGTGGGACAACACGTAGCCAGTGGGTAGAGCCACGAGGAGGGAGGTAATTGGGTCAAATCGGGACCTACAAGCGTCGCGACGCGGCGCGGGGCGCGGTGGTTACATCGGTAAAGCATTCGCGTGCCGACCTTTAGGTTGGTGGTTCAAATCTCCTGCGATTATTTTTTAATTCATTCCCACTGGGAAGAGGTCAGAGAAAAAAACAGAGCGACTCGCCAAACTCGAGGAGAAAGAGCGAGAAAGAGAAAGAAAATAACGACAGATGGACGGACGGCGGTGCAAATCCGACCGGAAGTGGAGGCGGAAGCGGAAGGGCGTCCTTTTTCCTTTTTCACAGTGGCGCTGTGTTTCGACGAGGCTTCTGTACACTGTGGCCACTGGGGCTCCAGGAGTGGCACATTCCGAGAGTCGTTTTCGTCGCTCCGTCCCTCTCGCACCTATACGGGACGACCCAGAGAGAGACAGAGCGACGGCTGGTCGGGCCTGCGACTGCGGCGCTGCGGTAGCGACCCACACTCGTCCCTGTTCCCCACCCCCGTTTTTATTTCTATATTTTTATCCGTATTTCTGCCGTGACTTGTACATGTCCCTTATCGAAGAGCGAATCGTTTACACATTCCAATGATGCGGCGAGTGGGCAGCCTTTGGCCTCCGGGCCTCCGCACATGGGCCAGAAGACCGGTGGAGGCGGCCAAAACTCTAGACGCGTTTTGAGCTCCAGAGTCGCTAAATGGGACTCGAACTGAACCTGTGACCCCACCAATGAATTCCTCGTTCGGAGAGCAATCCATTGGTGGGGTCACACGTTCGGTTGGAGTCCCATTTAGCGACTCTGGAGCTCAAAACGCGTCTAGGGTTTTGTCCGCCTCCATCGGTCTTCTGGCCCACTGTGCTCCGGGCCCTCCGGGTCCTCCTGCTGTGGCTGCGGCTCGGCGGCTCGGCGGCGCGGCGTGGTGATGAGCGGTCGCCTCGGAGGCCAACTCCAAGACGCACTGAGTGTCAATTCCAACTCAATACTTCATGGAGTCTGACCCCGCGACGACCGAGTGGTCCTTCTTCGTCGCTGGCTTGCGTCCCACTGCGTCCGACTACTGAAAGGAACATTTTCTCCAAATCGTGTTACGTTGAATCTGTTAGCCGAGTGGTTAGAGGCGTAGACTTCCCTCCGCCCAGGTTCAAAGTCGCAGGTTTAAAGTTACACTCTGAGCGCACACTCAGTGCTGCCGGCTGTGAGGGGCGGGGGAATATCCCGCTACGCGGAGGGAAATTTCCCTAAGCAGGCGTAACAAATTGGCAGAGCGTAGGGGAGCAGGGCGGCTCAAGGGATTACACGCCCTACAGTGTACACGTCACGGCAGGCGGGGCGAGGCGGGACAAGGGGCGAGAAAAGGAGGCCTAGCGCCACGGCGTCGTAGACACGGCCTCGAACAAGCAGCAAAGGGGTGCCTACCCTACAGTGGGCCAGAAGAGCGGTGCAGGCGGTCAAAGACGCGTTTTGAGCTCCAGAGTAAATGGGACTCGAACCGAACGTGTGACCCCACCAATGGATTGCTCTCCGAACGAGGAATCCATTGGCAGGGTCACACGTTCGGTTCGATTCCCGTTTAGCGACTCTGGAGCTCAAAACGCGTCGAGAGCTTCGGCCGCCGGCGCCGGTCTTCTGGCCCACTGTGGGGCCATGAAGGGCGTGGCGTCACAGAGTCACCGAATATGCGGCAAAGTACCGCTAAGCACACCATTGAAGCGCCCAGCCCGCCCTGCCTCCGCCCTGCCTCCCGGCGTGCAAACTACCCCCTGAACTGCCGCCCGAACTACGCCTTGCCTCCGCCTTGCCTCCGACGCGCACCTTAAATCTCCCTTCAGCACCTCGCCAGACCTCCCCGCCAGCCCCCACTCCTCTCTCCTCGCGTCGTCAGAGGCGGCGCGGCGAAAAGGAAGAAATTTAACGCCAAGGAGGCGAACGTGGCGAACGCCCACCCCTTTGAAAACTGTCCCCGGGCGCGCCACAGTGGGCCAGAAGACCGGTGGAGGTGGCCAAAACTCCAGAATCGTTTTGAGCTCCAGAGTCGCTAAGTGGGACTAGAACCGAACGTGTCACCCCACCAATGGATTCCTCGTTCGGCGAGCAATCCATTGGTAGGGCCACACGTTCGGTTCGTGTCCAGCTTAGCGACTCTGGAGCTCAAAACGCGACTAGAGTTTTGGCCGCCTCCACCGGTCTTCTGGCCCACTGTGCGGGCCGCTGTGCCAGGCGTCAGCCAAGCGCCCCGGGCCAGACCGAGGGCCAGGCCGCCAGCGGGGGCCATCCAGGGAGAACACCAGGCACCGTCAGGCCAGGCGCCGTCACGGGACAGAAGGACAGCGGCGGAACGGAAAGACAGAAGCACTGTCGGCACAGTGACGCGGCGCGCAGAGCAGAGCCCCCGGCGGGGTAGGCCGCCGACGGAGTCCAGCGCTGCGGGGCCCAGCGGGTTGCCTAGCGCGCGTCCGCAGGCGGTAAAGCGCTCACGACGGCGGCAGCGGACGGCACACAGTGGGCCAGAAGACCGGTGGAGACGGCCAAAACCCTAGACGCGTTTTGAGCTCCAGCCGAACGAGCAATCCATTGGTGGGCTCACACGTTCACACGATCGGTTCGAGTCCTCCTTAGCGACTCTGGAGCTCAAAACGCGTCTAGAGTTTTGGCCGCCTCCACTGGTCTTCTGGCCCACTGTGCGGCAGTCTTAAGACCTTCGACCCGTTTTGGAGCAGAGGAAACTGGAGCCTTGTTGTTCGTCTCCGAACAAAGGAACTCTGTAGTTTGATCCGAACATGTGCGCCCATTTTACTACAGTATTCGAACCGGCGTCCCTTGGTGTCGGTGACGAGTCGCTAAACCACTCGGCTGCACGTCCTGCCGGCGCTAACAAACGCTATCCGTGCTCGGTTAGCGCCCCCCCCCCATCCCCCCCCTGCCCGGTCCCGGCCCTCTGGGACCCGGCGCCCCAGCGCGCAGTATTTTATTGGCATACAGAACACGTCTTCGTAGAATCTCTCGCCAATCCGGCGGAATAAGCCCCCCTACCTCCCCTCTCCTCCCCCTCCCCCTCCCCTCCCCCCACCCCCTCTGCATCCTCAGCCGCTCCCTTCCTACACTGCCCGCGATGCCAGCGCGATGCGTTTCGTGCCGTCCTCAACGACAGCTGCAGGGACAAGGAATTTCCAGGGGAATTTTGCACTTTTGTCCGGGCCGGGGGTTCGACTCCCCCGAAACAATCACTTTTTTCCTGTTTTTTTTAGGCACGAAGTAGCCTTATAGTATACCCAGGACTCAGCCGGCTCGAGATTTGATTTGTGTGGCCCTTTATGCATTTCGGAAGTTTTCTATACGATTTTAATGAGATTTTGCAGACTAGTAGAACTTTGAACGCTGATTCTGATGTTGAAATCTGGTCAAAAATTTGGTGGCCAATTTTGAGAAATTTGCTGTCAAAATCGCCGTTTCCATGGCAAAACTCGACTCGTCAAAGGAAAAAAAAGGGAGTGGGGGGAGCCGAGCCGGGGCGGACCAATAGCGGAGCTTCTTTTTGGGTCTGTACAGCTTACTCCAAAAGCTGAAAAAGCAACGTTCGAAATGAAAAATTTCTTTGACTGCAGGTAGACAAGATGCAACAATAGAATTGGTGCCGGTTCGAACGCAGTTTTTCGGGTAGAACTATCCAATAATACTTCTTGATTGGAGTGTTTTTGGACATGCGCAGTGTTGTTGTTGTGATTCAGTTAGCACTAGGACCACTTCGCTCCACCTCGCGACTTGCAGTGCTCATGTTCCTCGAACAAGACTCACCCGCGTTTCGAAACCATCCCTCCCGAGTTTATGAAGTTTGTCAAACCAACCGTCGTGGTGTTGATACGTTGTAAGGGAGAACTATTACACAGAATTGAAGAAAACATGACTAGAGAACCATAGCCTTTTGAAACAAGCCAAACAATTCAACGTCCACAACAATGGAGGGGCAGTTTTAATGCGCGACTGCTGGCGCTTTCAGCTTCGCGATTTTCGCAAGGGCGCAGACGCCGAGAAAATAGTTGCCAACCCGAGAAAATTAATTTACTGACTTCTTTCTGCTAAGAACATTTTAATCATGATGGACTTCAAAGATGTTCCATTGTCAGAACACTGCGGAATACATTAGCATTGGAATTTTTTGAATTTTCCAGCATTTTGATTTCTATTTATTGTCAAGTTTAAATTTCGACGGATGGCACATCGACCACATTGGTACCACTGCCATTGGTAGTCCCCTGAGCCACAACTTCACAACACCACTTCTTTTCTTTCTCCACACTCTTACACAATAATCAAATTGACTTCGTGACTCCTAGGATTTCTTGAAATCGTATTTTTTTTCAATCCAAAGTTGGTGTTTTTTTTAGTAATTGCATGTAGTGCTCCTCCACATGAGTACTCGATTTACGCGCGACGGCTTGGAAGCCAAATTTTCGATCAGGAAATTAGAAAATGGAGCTGGGGGACTCATACATGCGTTCACCACATCATTACTCATCTGACAGGACGGGGTGCGAGAGCGAGAGAGAGAGAGAGAGAGAGAGAGAGAGAGAGAGAGAGAGAGAGAGAGAGAGAGAGAGGCGGTATCGACGCGCGCTAGCTAGCGCGAGCAAGGCACCATGCTCGGCGTCCCGGGCCGTCCCAGGGAGTGGGCGGGTAGCCGAGACACGCGTCAATCGTTGCAAACACACAGATTGACTAGTTCCGCGAACGGCCGCGAGGGGCAATGGCGCTGTCGGGGCGCGAGGGGCGCACAGTGGGCCAGAAGACCGGTGGAGGCGGCCAAAACTCCGGACGCGTTTTGAGCTCCAGAGTCGCCCTAAATGGGACTCGAACCGAGCGTGTGACCCCACCAATGGATTGCTCTCTGGACGAGGAATCCATTGGTGGGGTCACACGTTCGGTTCGAGTCCTGTTTAGCGGCTCTGGAGCTCAAAACGCGTCTAGAGTTTTGGCCGCCTCCACCGGTCTTCTGGCCCACTGTGTGTCGGGGCGCGAAGGGCGTGCGAGTAGCTCTGCAGGGAGTACGCGCCGGGCCGCCATTTTGATTCGCCAACTCGAAATCCCCGCCCTCGCGGCACTCGCCCTACGAGCCATGGCCGCCGCTCGCCCTCCGGGCCCTCCGGGCCCTCCGGGGCATTCTTTGTATTTTTATTTTTTTCCTGTCCCTCTTGTTTTGGCCGCGCGCGCGCCGGCCAAAAATTGCGGGCTTTCCATATTTATTCTTCATTTTTATACATTTGCTGGGTTGTCAGCGGGTCTTCGGTTCCGGCTTTATGAGTTTCTGCCGTTCGTTCCGCTCTAGCGTGCGTCGCAGCAGTGCAGTACCCCACACTGCAAAAAAAAAACCGCAGGATATTTTTTTTTAAATTATTTTTGTAAGATGAACATGAGCGCGCCTACGAATGGGCGAGACTAGTTTATTGCAGTGGCGTGCACTCAAATTCGCCTTCCCTTCCCACATTTCCCGGGGCGATCTTTATCTAGGCCGAGACTTTGGAACACTGCCGCGAACAAAGAGAGGAGAGAGAGAGAGAGAGAGAGAGAGAGAGAGAGAGAGAGAGAGAGAGAGAGAGAGAGAGAGAGAGAGAGAGAGAGCGCTTCGAAACTCGAGCGAGCACACTGCTGCGATTCAACGACTACACCGGAGATGACAGCACCCCGCCCCGCCCCTCCCCGTACCCCGCCATCTTGGCGGCCCCATTAATTTCTCTCCATTAGGTCTCATTTCCTTCAATCCCTGCTACGCTGCGCTTCTGCGGCCGGGCCGAGTGACAGACAGAGAGAGAGAGAGAGAGAGAGAGAGAGAGAGAGAGAGGGGGGGGGAGAGAGGGGGAGAGAGAGAGGGAGAGAGAGAGAGCGCAGCACAAACAGGTGTTGAATTACGGTCTCGGTTCCTCCCAGTAAAAGGACACTCATCCCGACGGCGGGGAGGCTCACGTCGGCAGCGCTGAGGTGGCGGTGGGAACGCCACACAGTGGGCCAGAAGACCGGTGGAGGCGGCCCAAACGCCAGACGCGTTTTGAGCTCCAGAGTAGCTAAATGGGACTCGAACCGAACGTGTGACCCCACCAATGGATTGCTCTCCGAACGAGGAATTCATTGGTGGGGTCACACGTTCGGTTCGAGTCCCATTGAGCGACTCTCGAGCTCAAAACGCGTTCGGAATTTCGGTCGACTCCACCGGTCTCCTGGCCCACTGTGAGTCACACCCGCAGAAAGAGATGGAAAGCTTGACGCTCCTTGTGGTGCGTGGCGGCGTCGCTTACCCGTTGGATCTCGTTCATCTTCGTCGTCTCCTTGCCGTAGGCCCACAAGGTGACGCCCAGCTTCAACGCCCAGTTCCGGACTCTGCAACAAAATATAGGCGTTTTCAATCCACTGTAATTGTGCCACCGAGTCAGCCGCGCGGGCTGAGGCGTTGGCTTTCTATGCAGACAGCTCGGGTTCAACTCCCCACCAACTATCAATTTTTTTTTGTTGACTTTTCCACTAGAAAAAATGAAAATTATCGTCGGAGAAAAAACGTTTTGGGTGGCTGTTTAGGCCATCTTTCCCCCCTCTTACACATACACGCACACACTCACAGTGCACACAACTGGCCCCTAAGTGGCGGTCATCACGGCTTGGAATGCGGTCCTTCCGGCCCCGGACGCCCTGGACGCGCTGGACCGACCAGCAACCCGGACCGCTAGCGGCGCTCCTCTCCCGAAGCACGCAGTCCGGGACGCAGTCCGGGACGCAGTCCACCCCCATAATCACTGGGCCATAAATAAACAAAGCCGTAAGAAGCGGGTGGGGCGGGCCAGGTGGGCCTGGTCGCGTCGCCGCGTCGCGCAGTGGGCCAGAGGACCGGTGGAGGCGACCAAAACTCTAGACGCGTTTTGAGCTCCAGAATCGCCGAATGGGACTCGAAGCGAGCGTGTGACCCCACCAATGGATTCCTCGTTCGGAAAGCAATCCATTGGTGGGGTCACACGCTCGGTTCGAGTCCCATTTAGCGACTCGGGAGCTCAAAACGCGTCCGGGATTTCGACCGCCGCCACCGGTCCTTTGGCGCACAGACACATCGTCGCACAAGTGCGAGAGAGACAGAGCGACTACTGACCCGGCAGCCGGAAAGAAAACTGCGCCACCGCACTGCGAGTGGGGCATGGCTCGGGGATGGGCCAAGTACTCCGGGGACAGGGTGGGGGGTCGTCTGTCGGTGTCAGGACACTGTACATCTGCTGGCTGTGGCTGTAATTAACCTCATCGCCATTTGCCGAGCCGTGGCGCCGTGGCGGGGCGCTGATAGAATGCTTGAGGTCCGCGGGGCGGGGCGTGGCGGGTCGAGGCGGGGCGGGGCGGGGCGGGGCGGGGCGTGGCGGGGCGAGGCGGGGCGGGGCCCACTCCGGATTGCATCCAAGACAATGTGGGTCAACCCAGCGAGCGCTATGCAACCAATCGACCACCCCACCGGGGCGAGGCAAAATGTTTCAATTCCCGCTCGGAGTACCCGCGAACCCGCACGCCGCGCCGCGCCGCGCCGCGCCGCGGAGTCCCATGGGCGTTCTTATCGCGCTACTGCGGTACGGGTGCCCGGAGCGGCGGCTCGCTCTCCACCCTCAATGACGCACCACAGCGTTAACAGTTCCCGTGGCCGAGCCGCTAGCGCGCTCGCACGCCGCGAGGAAGATTCCTGGTTCGACACCGCGTTCGACTCAACTTTTTCAAGCGTTACAATTTTTTTCGTTCGAAAATAAATAAACTTGGATGATCGGAAAGAAACTCAAAATTAGGTGTTACAAAATTTGATCAACGAACACTTTTTCAAAAAAATTTAACTTTTTCGGAATGTGGGGAGCGAACTCGGCGCGGGTAAATGAGTAGCAGGCCGCCTCCCTCCAGCCCCTCGAAGCGGAAAAACGGAAAAGAGCGCGTTAAAATTGGTTCTCTTTCCAGATGGCTGGAGGCTGTGCGGCGAGGCACGGCGGAGACACGACAAGCAAGAGGCCCCCCCCCCTGCCCCGCCCCGCCCCGCCCCCGGACGGCCTCCCGATCGAACGAATTCAATTACCCTGTGATATCCCTTCAGTTTCTGATCTGTGGGAACTGGATGGGCCGGGCTAGGCAGCCAGGCCTTGGCCAGGCCGGCCGGCGCGCGGGGTGGGGGAGGGGGTGGGGGAGGGGGTGAGCCGGCACTCAAAGCCGCCAGCGCCGCGCCGGGCCGCCAGGGCCGCCGGGACGTCATGACCGCCAGGCCGCTGCACGTCCACGATGTAAAGGTAACGGCCTTCTGGCCGCCTAGTGGCGCCAGAGAGGCTCCACCGTGGCTCCGCCGCGACTTAGCGCGACCTACCCCAGCCGCCTTTTTTGCAGCCCACGTCCGCGCTCCGCGCCTCTTGAAGCCCCGGCCGCTCCAGGCGGCCCCAAGCCCCCGGGCCCCGGGCCCAGGGCGGGGACAGCCGCTCGACAGTGTAGCGGAGGAGGAGCCCGGTCGGCGCGGAGGGTCACGCAGGGTCACGCGGGTCACCCACTGCCCTTCGCACCGTGACCTATGGCCTGGTCACCGCGACCCGCCGCGACCCCCGGACGTGTCGATTCCCCCCCCCCCCCCCACAAGGCGTGCCGAGGGTGCCGAAGTAGCCGAACTCGAGCCGAGCGCAGCCAGGCAGCGCAGCGCGCGCAGCGCCGAGCCGAAAGCATCCCAACTCGTAAAGTCTCGTTTTTCGGCTGGTGAGTGGAACGAGTGGAACACCGAGGGGGAGGGGGCCGGAGGGGACCGGAGGGGACCGGAGGGGGCGCCCCCACCCCGTCTGCAGACTCCGGGCACATTTTGTCCTGAAACTGAGCGGGGATGGGGCGGGGTGGGGGGCGGGGCGGGGTGGGCCGGCATCGATCGTTGCCGCCTCACAATGGGGGCAAGCCCGCCCCCGGCCGCCCCCCGCCGCCCCGACAGCCAGCATCCCGACCGAACTCCCTCCGCGCTGCCAGGACTGCCAGCACCGCCAGCAGCCGCCACGCCGCCCGGGACTGGGGACCGGCCGAACGCGGCCCGAACGCCACCCGAACGCCACCCGAACGCCACCCGAACGCCACCCGAACGCCACCCGAACGCCACCCGAACGCCACCCGAAGACCGCCGAACCGAACAGCCGAAAGCCGAACAGTCGGAGCCGGGAAAGAGGACACCGTCTGGGCATGCAGCGGGGGGCGGGGCGGGGCGGGGCGGGGTGAGGACAGACTGGCAAGCGGTCATACCCTCCGGTCCGCGCCCAAGGGTTGCATGCCCTACACTCGATCCTGGACTCTGTCTCGGACTCTGTCCCGGACTCGGTCCCGGACTCGGTCCTCCACCGGGTCACGACCCCCAAGAAGCACGTCAACATTGACCCACCGCGCAAGGGCAGTTAGTTAACGCGCTGTCCGCAGCGCGGACCGGAACGTTATCTCTCTCGCACTCACGGGATGTTCCGTGGAGTGCGAAAGAGACAGAGTCAGGCTTTTAGCACTGTGCTGTCCGTTTGACGTTGGCGCCAAAACCCGCCACCTGAAGGCGGCTGAAGACTCGACCCCCCTTTCCATTTTTTTTTGCGGTGGACTCGCAGCCAAATAACAATCAACGCATTAAGGGGGTCGGGTCGCCTTGCGTGCCACTCTAAAAAAAATGCTTCTTAAATTTCATAATCTGGATTTGAAGTTATTTGTAGAACAATGAATCTTAAATTTCATATCCAAAAAGTTCTTAAATTTCATAACTTGCTGTTCTAAACTTTCAGAAGTGGTTTATGAAATGTAAGAACTAGTTTATTAATTTTTTAGAATCAATTGGTTTTGAAAATTCACATTTGGTTCTGAATCTCTACAACCAATATTATGAAACATGATAATAGTTTCATTACTGCCCACAAAATGTATAAATAAAAAATAATAATAAATAAAACCTTTATCCCTTTCTTAATGAATATGTTACAAATGATGAAATCTCAGAAAGCTATGATTTCTTTTCACACTCAGTATTATCGCAAATCGTTGCAGCTGGCCAACGGAAATAAGCATTGTACTGTAGTGCAGTCGACGCTGTTAACAGTCAGAGGCGCAGCAGTGCATAAGATCCAGATGCACTTTAGGGAAACTCGGTCGACACGCAGAAACTACTTTGGGGACGAGGATGAAAGAGGAGAAGCGAATTGACATAATACGCCACCCACACGTTCATCGCCCGTCCCTACAGTTAAGAAGATGGAATAACAGCACTCAGTAACACCGCTTTTGGCGAAAACACGTCCTTTTTCCGAGGGTCGCCAAAATAGCTTGTAACTCTTGAACACGAGTGGTGGCTGTTCGGCACCACAAGCAACACTTTAACTGCACTCTACGCACTACGCGCACTAACGGTACATAGCGAAACAAAATTGATGACGCGAACTTGTGGTGACGCGGACGCGAACTGGATACGCTGTGCACAGCACTGGAGACAAAGACACACTAAAAGTGACGCAGTGTCGCCGAAATCCCGTGTGGCCGAGGGATTACGCGACCCCTCGCCGGGCACAGGTAGCTTCGGCTTCGGCCGGCAGGCCGGCGAGCGGTGATTTTCCGTGGAAGCAGCGCCGACTCGGCTCGGGGCGGCTCGGCTCGGCCGGCTCGGGGCGGCTCGGCTCGGCTCGGCTTGGCCGGCTCGGCTCGGCTCGGCTCGGCTCGGCCCGGAGGACGGTGGCCGGTCAGGCATTGCAAGGGACGCGATTTGCAGCCTCTTGGGAAATACTACACACAAATTTTGAACATGCATTAACTGGAGCATGCCTGCAAGTACGCTCCAACAAGCGCATGCCCGCCAAGCATGCACTAACTAGTGCATCATGCCATGTACACGCGAACTGAAGCAGACAGCTCTCCATACCTCTCATTAATGTAATAACTGTATGCACTAAAAAGTAGTAGGCATACGCTAGCAAAAGCGTGCTTGCTCCAGTTAGTGCATAAAATGTACGTTTTTCAGTTTGTAGACCGCCCCTAGGACTCCTACACTGTGCGAAAAAATCACAGTAAATCCTGTACTGTTTGGTACAGCTGTGACTGTAGTTCAGAGTACAGGATTTACTGTACCTTTTTTACAGGATCCACTGTACTTTGTACGGGATTTACTGTACCACAGGAGTGGAGTACGGAATATCCTGTACAAGGTACGGTAAATACTGTAGCCAGGCACAGTATATCCTGTGTTCTGAACTACAGTAAATTCCGGCACAAAAATTAACGGGATTCACTGTGGTTTTTTCGCACAGTGTACCTTAGCGGTTCGGAAAATGTTAACACATGCCGATAAAAATGAAAACTTCACCTCTTTATTAATTTAACCATGAATA